TGTGTGTGTGTGTGTGTGTGTGTGTGTGTGTGTGTGTGTGTGTGTGTGTGTGTGTGTGCGCGCGCGCGTGCGCCCTACATGTCTGCAGTGCCTCCAGAGAGTGTTTAGTTCCTTGAAACCTGAGTTACAGACAGTTGTATGTCATTGTGGGCACTGGGAACTAACCCCAGGGCCTCTAACAAGAGCAAGCCAGTGCTCTTAACTACTGAGCATCTGCCTAGCCCAGCTAATGGAAAGAATGCCAGAATTGCTAATGAGATTGAATGAATGAATGAATGAATGGTCCATCCACCCTGTACATAAGAAGCTCTTTAAGCTCTTTGTCTTAGTGTTTGTATTGCTGTGAAAAGATGTCCTGGTCACAGCAACTCTTACAAGAAGACATTTAATTGAAGTGGCAGCTTACAGTTTTAGAGGTTTAGTCCATTATCATCACGGTAGCATTCGGGCCGAGGTGATACTGGAGTAGATGAGAATTCTGCATCTTGTAGACAGCAGGAAGTCACCTGTCACACTGGGTATCCTGAGCATAGGAAACCTCGGAGCCCACCCCCATAGTGACACACTTACTCCTACAGGGCCATGCCCACTCCAAGAAAGCCACACCTCCTAAGAAGAGTGGGGGACAATTACATTCAAACTACCACACTCTACGTAACTTGTGGCTACTGCTCTTCTCCTGGAATCTCATGGAGAACCACTGCCACATTTACCGAATGCCTAGCACTTTGCGCAGACGCTTACTGGCCGTCCGTGATAGGCCAGAGGCAGTGGCCGTGCCGAGACGGCTTTATGAACCGAAGCAGGGTTAGAAGTGCCATGTGCCCTGCTGCCCTGGGGTCCCAGAGCTCAGGCCTAGGGTCTGCTGCTGCCTGACCCATCCCGCACATTAGCAGTGGCCTTTGTGGGGAGCCTGCCTCCATGCCAGTGTGTGCTGTCTGTCTCATGGAACGTTTGTCTCTCTCAGCCTAGTTACAGCCAGCCGCCCTACAGCCAAGGAGGCTACACCCAGGGCTACACCGCGCCTCCACCTCCACCTCCACCACCACCTGCCTACAACTATGGGAGCTACGGCCCCTACAATCCTGCCCCCTATACCCCACCACCACCCCCCACTGCCCAGACCTACCCTCAGCCCAGCTATAACCAGTATCAGCAGGTAAGTGCAAGATGGACCTCCCAGTGGGCCTTCTGGAAACATTCTTGTGTGTGTTCAGACTTGGTTTCCTGCCTATTCCTGAAACATGGGTGACTGCTTGCCTCGAGCTAGTGATCTAAAGCTTTTGGTAGACTGAGTCCCATGGCTAGTAAGTAACTGGTGTGTAGCCACTGGCCCCCAGTGCAGCGAGCCACCCTGGCTGAGCTGAGTTCTGCTTTGGCGCTGTGGTGAGGGGTGCCAAGTGCTAGTCCAGGTTGGTGCTGGGGCCACCACATCTGCAAAGGACAGCCAACAGCCAGGAGACCAGGACTGCATTCCCTGATTGCCCGTTTGGGTGCCATCGGGTGGACTGCATTCCCTGATTGCCCGTTTGGGTGCCATCGGGTCAGCCCTTACCTTTGCAAAGCACTTGGCTTTCGTCAGAGGGCCCATGTGCTGCGGTGAGCCATGCGGGCGCAGGGGCAGTCTGAGCGGGAGATAACCTGATGCTCTCCCTCTCTCCCCAGTACGCCCAGCAGTGGAGCCAGTACTATCAGAACCAGAGCCAGTGGCCGCCCTACTACGGGAACTACGACTACGGAGGCTACTCGGGCAGCACACAGGGGGGCACGAGCACACAGTAGCCGGTGCTGGCGCCTCCGGAGGCCGTGCCGCGGCTTCTACAGCGCCTGCCGTGGCCCCTTCCACCCCCCTTGAGTCCTGTGGTGCTGGGGACAGAGTTATCCCAGGGCTGCCTCCTAGCCCACTTCCTCCAGAGGGCTTCTCCCTTCGTGCAGGCCAGGCGTTTTTCTCTGAATTCAAACAGGCAGCCGTGACCTTTCCCTCATCTGTGTCCTCCCTACTTTCTCCTCTCCCTGCCTTTTTGACTAATGAAGCCTCCTCTCCTCTGGTGACCTAGAGAGGCCACAGTGACTGGGGAGACCCCGCCTGTCTGCCCTCCCCACTCTGCTTTAGCCCCTTGGCTTCCCAGACTCATGCAGTTGCTTGTAAATTCTTCCAGGAGCTGTTTTACTGTCTACTTTTCAGGATTTAAAAAAAAATTTAAAAATTTTAATAAAAAAAAGTTTAAGAAGCAAAATGCATAGGGAGGAAGCAGTGACGTATTTTTGGTAATTATGCTTTTTTTAATTTCTAGAATTTGTTTTTACTGTGGGTCAGCCATTGATACTTCATCAAATAACTACTTCTTTGCTGAGTTCAGGTAACCGAGGAAGAGCCACACCCTCGAAACAAGCAACAAAATCACCTTTAACCTAACTTTTTATATGATGTCTGAGTTCCCCATAACTTTGCACACAAGCGTCTGTGTTCTGTTGGATTGTAACTTTTTGTATTTGGAGAGAGTGTGACTATTGAACTTGAAACCTTTTGCTCCAGGAGTCTTGGTAGTTTCTGGTGGGCTTAAGTGGGTGAGAGGGTGAAGGGAAGGTGGGGGGTGGGGCAGCCTTCCCTCTAGACGCTAAAGTTCCTCCACCCCCTCCTCCCTCCAGTGCTCCTCGGGGTACCAGACCTAAAGTTTTACAGTGGTCCCTTTGACTATTCTCACTTCCCTTTACCCGTGTTTTAATTGGAATTTAGCAAACTGCACTTAAGAAATGTTTTACGCTGTTTTGTTTTAGTTTCTTTCAATAAATGACATGGCACCTCCTACCAGGAAGGAAGCAGGGTTGAAACCCTGAAGTGTTACTGCAGTTGGCCGTTAATTGGGATGGGAGGCCTTCGACGGGGTTTTCACTCATTCATTCAAACAAAATGGTTCTCTACCTCACACAACCCAGCTGCTTTCAGGACAGATAGCTGGGACCTGGAAGGAAGAGACCAGGCTGGTTCAGGGCCATCCTTCCCTGGGTGTGTTGTCTGGCCTGGCCTGGGGGCTACTCTCAGGGCGGCTTGCACTGCCTCCCCTGGAGGTGTTGGCCACTTACTCTGTCACCATCCTGGACTGTATTGGGACCCTGAGCACTGCAGGGGTGGCCCTGGTCCCTGTCTCGGGTTCCCCTCCAGGGAATACATCCTTGTAACCAGTGACAATCCCAGGGTTGAGAGAGAGAGGCCCTGGAGTGATGGGAAGGCTCTCTTTGGAGAAGAGGAAAGTAACATGAGCTTTGGGGTTGAACTCCAGCCCACCATGTCTCCTGGATCCCTCTTTCTGTGCCGGCTGCTTTCACGTCTGATCTGCTGTGCGCAGCTCAGCCCAGCCCCTAGTCGGAACTGGGGAGTCTTGTAAAGGGACACAACCTACCAAAAGAAGAGCTAGGGGTGGTGGCATGCCCAGTTCCCTGAGGCTTGCAGTTACATAAACTGCAGGGACAGCTCAGACCCTGTCTTCAGAAGCAATGAGGACTATGTATACTGTTCACAGTGCACCAAGCCCTAGGTTGCAACATGGCCAAAGGAGGAGGAAGGCTGAGTAGTTAGTTATAGGGTTGAGGAGGGATCATGTCTGCCTAAAAGGCACCTGTCAACTTGTGGGGTCCTCAGTGTCCCTAGTCTGAGAAGTCCTGCTCTTGCAGGTGCGTGCTGGGCAGCAGCGCCCTCTGCTGACCACTCGTGATGGAGCTGAGTCTTTTCCACCACTCTGGGAAATGCTAATACAGTTCTTCCTCTTCCGACTGTTTCTGGATTCATCTCCAGCTTCCTCATTATGCTCTCCAGTTCCTTTCCTTGGGTCCCTTCCTCAAACCCTGTAGGCTCCAACCACTCATTTGGGTTAGGAAGCCCTCCGTGACGTGACACTGATGACCATGGCCTCACACACCCTCTTTATTTTTTGCTTTCTTGGGACAAGGTTTTGCTACAGCCCTGGCTGGCTTAAACCTCAAATGATCTCCCTGCCTCTGCCTCCTGAGTACTGGATGTCCCGACCACAGTGAGCCATTACAGTATCTAGTACTGCTCATGCCAGCCATACTATCTGAAATACTTAACTCCCCGTCATCCCTTCAGGTCTCATCTGGGCTCTGCATCCTACCTAAGAGCCTCTAACCTAGCCTGTGGTGGGCAGGTTTCCTCCTTGTTTAGAAACAGGAAAGTCGCTGGGCGTTGGTGGCGCACGCCTTTAATCCTGGGCAGAGGCAGATGGATCTCTGTGAGTTCTAGACCAGCCTGGTCTACAGAGCAAGTTCCAGGACAGCCTCCAAAACAATACAGAGAAACCCTGCCTCGAAAAAAAAACCACAAAAGTCCTTTCCCTGACTTCACCTCATGACAGCCCCAGGCTGGATGTAATGATAGAAGCAAGTCAAACCTTACAAGGGTGGGTGAGGTGGGTCGGAGGTCAAAGATGGGTTGCCCAGCAGGGGTAGGCACATCTTTAGTCCCAGTGCTCAGCAGGTAGAGGCAGATGGATCTCTTGAGTTCGAGGCTAGCCTGGTCTACACAGAAACCCTGTCTCGAAGGGGGTTAAAAATGCTGGCAGTCTTAACGACTGAATTCTATCCCAGGAACCCACCCCCATAAATTGTCTTCTGATCATGTAAACATGCATTATTTTAAAGCTAAAAAGCAGCCGGGCGGTGGTGGCGCACGCTTTTAATCGCAGCACTCGGGAGGCAGAGGCAGGCGGATCTCTGTGAGTTCGAGACCAGCCTGGTCTACAGAGCGAGTTCCAGGACAGCCTCCAAACAATACAGAGAAACCCTGTCTCGGAAAACCACAAAAAAAAAACTAAAAAGCATACTCGAGAATCCACGCGAGGGCCTGGAGTTACAGCAGCGAACAGAAGACACACGGTCCCCGATGACTTTCCAATTTGAGAAGACCCATCCGCTCGACCGTTTTCATGCCTGACTGTGAGGGCGGGACGACGCATGCGCAGAGGGACGGGCCACCTTTGACCCGGAACTTGGGTGCTCGGGTGCCGCTCCAGTGTCGCTTGCATAGCCGGATATGGCCGCGAGTGCTTAAGGTCCCGGCTGTCTTCCGGAGCCCGCTGCGGCGGTTAGTGGGTCGGAGATCAGGGATGGAGGCCGTGGCAACCGGGACGGCGGCGGAGAGGAAGCCCGACGATGGTGAGCCACTGGCCGGGCGCAGGCGTCGGGGGGGCCCTTGCGGTGCGACCTGGAAACGGCTCCGGCAAGCGCTGCGAACTCTAGGAAGTGTGACCTCGCTTTACCGGCATTTTCAGCCCTTGGTCCACTTTGAGGTCAGGCTGTCCGGCCTTGGGGCGGGTGGACAGTTCCCTCCGTTTTCTTAGATCCCCTTTCAGAGTCTCTTACCATGCCAGCGCCTCAAGCAAATGTAAACTTCTCCCCTGAGAACGCTTCAGCCTCAGGCGACCTCTCTCCAGTTACCCGTTTCCTGTGCCAGCGTGAGCTTCGCTGTGTCCCAGGCTAGCTCTCCTCTGGTCCCGTGCAAGCTCGCCGTGTCAGACCCACAGCTCCCATTGCATTGAAACTCTCCAGCCGCAGTGGGGTGTGTGTGTGTGTGTGGTGTGTCGGTGTGTGTCTGTATGGTGTGGTGTGTGTCTGTTGTGTGGGGGGGTGTGGGCTGTGTCTGTGTGTATGGTGTGGTGTGGGGTGTGTCTGTGTATGGTGTGGTGGGTGGGTATGGTGTGGTGGGTGTGTCTGTGGGGGGGGGTGTGTCTGTGTGTGGGGGGGTGTGGGGTGTGTCGGTGTGTGTGGTATATGTTTTACGATCTCCAGATATGATGGCTCACCCTGTAACCCCAGCACTTGAGAGACCCAGGCAGGAAATTTGCCTTGAGATTACAGCCAGCCTGAACTACATAGTTCCAGGCCACAAAGTGAGGCCCGTAAGGTGAGGTCCCCACCTCAAAATAAATACATTAATGTTTTCTGTATCTTTTAAACTTCTGTTTGCTGGGGCCTAAGCCCTGAGCCTTATGAATGCTAATTATACTTGCTACCACTAAACCATACCTCCAAACCTAAAGAGAGTCTGGGACGTGACATGGTATGAGAGACTTAGAATCAGGAGCCTGAGGCAGGAGGATGGAAAGTTCAAAGCCAGGGACCAAGGATGTAGCTTATTGTTGGAATGCTTGTCCAGCATGCCTGAAACCCCAGGCTCAGTCCCCAGCACCACAGAAACTGTGGAGCACCCCTGTAGTCCTAGCATTCCCAAGAATGTTTATCAAAAATAAATAAATAGAAAGCCTTTGGCCCTTATGATAGCTTTATAGTTGGTTTTTTTGGGGGGGGAGATTGTTTTGGGGTTTTGTTTTGTTTTTCAAGACAGGGTTTCTCTGTGGCTTTGGAGGCTGTCCTGGAACTCACTCTGTAGACCATGCTGGTCTCGAACTCACAGAGATCCGCCTGCCTCTGCCTCCAGAGTGCTGGGATTAAAGGCGAGCGCCACCACCGCCTGCCCAGACTGTTTTCTTACGGTATGGCTTAGAGGAGTCAATGCTGTTGATTTTGTACCCCCACCCCCCAATCCTGGCGAGCGTGCTTTATGAGCTGTTACGCTCTGGTTCCTCCCTGATTCTCAGGCTGCTCCTTCTCAGCCTTTTGCATTATTTCTCATGGCTGCTACATTGGATTACCAGAAAATGGGTGTTTAAAATGAACATAGATGAAATCTAAACTCAGTATTACCAGACAGGAATAGTCAAGCCACAAGGCCAGGCTCCCTCGCAGGCTCTAGGCTATTCCTCATCTCTTCCAGTCAGAGCCAGCTCTGGCGCTTGCTGACCTGCGTCCACGGCGCTCAGTCTCTGCTTCCCCCTCATGGCACCTAAGTGTGTCTGGTCTTCCTCAGTCACCTTTGTAGTATCATCATCATCATCATCATTACTACATATGAGGTTTGGACTGCATGCATATCTGTGCGTGGTACCCACAGAAGCCACAAGAGGGCATCAGATCCCCTGGAACTGGAGCTACACGTGGTTGTGAGCTGCAGTGTGGGTGCTTGGGATCAAACCTGGGTCCCCTGGAAGGGCAGCCTTAACCACTGAGCCGTCTCTCCAGCCCTTCCTTGGTCTCTTACTGCAGTTAGGACATTTAATCCAGAATAATCTCTCAATTTTTTTTTGTTTATTTATTTTTTGTTTATCGAGACAGGGTTTCTCTGTGTAGATCTACCTAGCTGTCCTGGAACTCACTCTTCTTGTAGACCAAGCTGGCCTCAAACTCACAGAGATCCGCCTGCCTCTGCCTCCCAAGTGCTGGGATTAAAGGCGTGCGCCACCACTGTCTGGCTAGTGTCTCAATTTTTAAAAGCCTTAATATAATTGTGTCTGTGGAGAGACACCCCCACACACCCTGCTGTTACAGGTCCCAGCAGTTAAGAAGTGTCTGCCTTTGGATGACCGAGTTTTAGCTTTCACGGGCATGCCCTCCTCCAAGATGCCCGGTGTCGTCTGCTGTGTGGTCTGTCTGCACACACTCCCCTTCACCCCATCCGTCATTTCCCTCTGCCTGGCTCTGATGACATATGTATACATATGCCTGCCTGTGTGTATAAAACCATGTCTCCAGCTCTCTGGGGGGAGCCCGGAGGCCCATGTCCCAGCATTCTATAGATACAGCCTCTCCAGTGTCCCCGCACCCATGGCAGCTTCCTTAACCCAGCCTGTTTCTGCCTGTGTCCCTGTCTCAGGGACAGTTTGGCTGTCCTCTAGGCTGGACCTTCCCCAAGGCTTGTCCATTCAAGCATCCTCCAACCGCGTGACCCCTACCCTAGTTCCAACCTCTCCTGCTTCAGTGGCTGAAACCCAGCATCCATACCCCGCCCTCCCCCCCCAGTCAGTTATCTAAAAGTAGCACGTGGTTCTCCCATCTTCGCTTTTCTCCTATTGGCTGAAGTTCTTCCTGCCTGTGAAACAGCCCCCACTGGCTCAGCCCAGAGCCTGTCTTTGCCTGGATTGTCTGTATCTGCCTGGATGCCCCCTCCCCCGGGGGCAGGGGCTATAGGAGTGCTCGTAGGACACCCCACACTCCTGACTGAGGGCTTTGTATGCGCTTGAGGATGGGCAGGGGGGTGTGGGGATGCATACAGGGAGGTGGATCATTGCCTCAGTGACCGTTCTGTTGCTGTGAGGAAACGCCCTCAGGGAGCGGCACTAGTAGGAGGCGTGGTCTCATTGGAAGAAGTGTGTCACTGTGGGGGCGGGCGTTGAGGTCTTTCAAGTTTCCCTCGGTGTGACAGTCATTTCAATGTCAGCTCCAGCACCACATCTGCCGGCACGCTGCTGTGTTCCCGTATGATGGTAATGGACCGGACCCCACCCCAAACTGTCCGCCAGCCACCCTTAGTTAAATGTTTCCTTTGTAAGAGTTGCCATGGTCACGGTGTCTCTTCATAGCAATAAAACCCTAAGACAGACCCTGTGACCAAGGAAACTCTTATAAAGGCAAGCATTTAATTGGGGCTTGCTTAGTTTCAAAGTTAGTCCATTGTCATCCTGGGGAGTGTGTCAGCATGCTGGCGGTACTGGTGCAGGAGCTGACAGCACATTCTGATCCGCAGACTGATAAACTCCCTCCCCCAGTGACACACCTCCAACAAGGCCACACCCGCTAACCCTTCTGGTCCTCTCAAATAGAGTCACTCCTGGATGATGAAGCCTTTAAGTGTGTGAGCCTACGGGGGTCATTCTTATCGGCCACCGCAGTCACTGAACAAGTTAGGTGATGACCAGGAGATGGGCACAGTCTGGAGTAGCTTGGTAGCACAGAACTCAATTTCTCAGCACTCCAGGTTTTTCCATCAGTTCAGAACTTGCCTGTTTTTATCTTGTATGCGTAGGTGTTTTGTCCATGTGAATGTCTGTGCACCCCAAGTGTGTATTGCCAGGGAGGCCAGGAGAAGATGCTGTGTCCCCTACAACTGGAGACACAGTATACGTATGTGGCGGGAGCCGAGCCGGGTCCTCTGGGAGATCAGTGCTCTTACCTGCCGAGCCATCCCTCCCGGTGTCGCTTCCTGGCAAGCTCTCCGTCGCCCTCCCCTTTGAAGCTGAGCTGTCCCCACATGGCCACCTGTCCTTCCTGGATCTTCACTCAGGCACGCTCTATCGTCATCATCACCATCATTATTGGTGGTTTTTATTTTTTATTTATTTATTTATTTTGGTTTTTTGAGACAGGGTTTCCCTGTGGCTTTGGAGGCTGTCCTGGAACTCGCTCTGTAGACCAGGCTGGTCTCGAACTCACAGAGATCCGCCTGCCTCTGCCTCCTGAGTGCTGGCACCAACACCCGGCTGGTGGTTTTTATTTTTATTGTTGTTGGCTTGTTTTTTTTTATTTTTGAGACTTAGCCTCGCTGTGTAGTCCTGGTTAGCCTTGAATTTAGAGGTTGCCTGCCTCCGAGATGAAAGGCGCCGGGATTAAAGGTGTCCTGCTTGTCTTTTTGTTTATTTTTACATAGCCAGGGAAATGCATGCCTACCATGTTCCCTGCTTTCGTTCATTGCTTGGGTCACTGACCTCTTGCTCACCATGATCTATCTAGGGCCTACAACATTCCCCACAATGCAGTGGGAGCTCAATAGATGTGAACGGCGCGCGTCAACAGCCAGCCACTTCCTGCCCAGGCCCCTCCCGACAGACACCGTTAGCCTTTAACTAAGACTCCCCTTGACCCGCAGACTGCGTGGAGCCCAGACGTGCGCACTGGGGGGAGCTGAGCCCGACTCCTGTCCCATCTGTGTCGCAAGACAAGGAAGCAAAGGAGAGTGCGCCAGGCGTCCCCAGTGGTGCCACCTCCCAGGCTGAGAGTCCCGCCGTGAGTGCCATGTTGCACGCCATCGCTGCCAGCCACCTGCCTGTGTGCAGCCAGCAGCAGGGCGAGCCCGACCTGACAGAGCGTGAGAAGGTGGCCATCCTGGGCCAGCTGTACCACCAGAAGCCCCTGGTGTTCCTGGAGCGCTTCCGCACAGGCCTCCGGGAAGAGCACCTGGCCTGCTTCGGCCACCTGCGAGGGGACCACCGAGCCGACTTCTACTGTGCCGAGGTGGCCCGGCAAGGCACTGCCCGGCCCCGCACCCTGCGCACCCGTCTGCGTAACCGGCGTTATGCTGCCCTTCGAGAGCTCATCCAAGGTGTGGGGGATGGTGGGGGGGGGGCAGATAGGGAGGAAACGGGGACAGAAGCTGAGGGACAGTGACAAGATACAGCCGGGCCGTGGTGGCGCATGCCTTTAATCCCAGCACTCGGGAGGCAGAGGCAGGCGGATCTCTGTAAGATCGAGGCCAGCCTGGGCTACAGAGTGAATCCTAGGGCAACCAGAGCTGTTACGCAGAGAAACGCTGTCTCAACAAAACCGAGAGAGAGAGAGGAGAGGAGAGGGGGCAGGGTACAAATGCAGGAACCCAGAGAAATCCTTGGAGGTGAGTTCTGAGACTGGTGGGTGGACAGGGTCAGAATTCAGCAGAGTCTCACAGTATAGTGCCCGGGCTGTCCTTGAACCCAGATTCCTCCTACCTCAGCCTTTCAAGTGACGGCAGAAGTGACATCTTAGATGGCCGTGGCTGAGGATACCCTACAGAGCATTGTGATAATCAGGTGTCCCTAAGGACTGGGTGTTCCCATCGTCACACCATGCAGCAAAGGCGCTGTTGGAAGCCAGGGAGGGGCACAAGGCCACCTTGTACAAAATGCTGGTGGAGCCCGTGCAGGAAGAGCCCGGTGTAGCCTTTCACGCCCCTGGCTCGGGAGGCAGAGGCCAGAGGCTCTCTGAGTTTGATGACGGCCTGATCTACAGAGTGGCTCAGGCCTGGGTACATGAACATGCTCCGCCCCAGCTGTACTAATGTCCCACAGGACCTCAGGCATGTGCAGGCGGCTTTATCATGTACCTCAACTGCATACATGTTACGAGCAGGTCACTCTCTTTTGCGCATGCCTGGGTACGCGTGCCCACGCCCGCCCACCTTGCTTCGTTCCTGCACAGGAGGAGAGTACTTCAGCGACGAGCAGATGCGGTTCCGGGCCCCGCTGCTGTACGAGCAGTACATAGGACAGTACCTCACACCGGAAGAGCTCAGTGCCCGCACGCCGGCCCCCCAGGCCCCCAGGCCCGGCTCCCCCAGCACGCCGGCCTACCCACTCTCCGACCTGCTCTTCCAGTCCTACCAGGAACGAGAGCTTCAGCAAAAGCTGCTCCGGCAGCAAGAGGAGGAGGAGGCCTGCCTGGAGGAGGAGGAGGACAGTGATGAGGAAGGTGAGGGCGGCAGCGGGACACCCTGCCCCACGCCTGTTCCCGTGTGTGCCACCTGGCTGGGCCCTGACCTGTGACGATAGACACCTCTGCCCTCACCCTCCGCCCTGCCATCTCCTGACCACTGCGGCACGCGTGGCATCCCCATTTTATCCAGTGTGCACCCCAGGAGGGCAGGCATTAGGCTGTCCGGATAGCAAGGGGCTGGGCACAGGACAGTAGCTCGTCAGACGCCCTCAGGTCACCGTCCTGGGTATCTCCACAGACCAGAGTTCAGACAAGGACTCGGAGTCCTGGGTGCCCGACTCGGAGGAGAGGCTGATCCTGCGGGAGGAGTTCACCAGCCGCATGCACCAGCGATTCCTGGATGGCAAGGATGGGGGCTTTGACTACAGGTGCCTCCCCTTCCCAGCCCAGCATCCGTGGCCCTGGACCACAAGCAGGCCCCTGCCCAGCCTCAAAGGCCCTCCTTGGTGGTGCTGGGGGCCCCTGGAGTAGGGTGCCGCCGTGGGTCCTGGTGGTGTCAGTCAGTGCAGTCAGATCGGTGAGGGTTGATGGCCAGTGACACGTGAGCCGTGACCATGAATAGCTTCAGTGGAACAGGGGTCCTGGTTACCACAGCTATGCGGTCCATGCTGGCATCCCACAGATCTGCAAGCAGTGGGGTTCATCCGCTGCCCGCTGGGGCCACCGAGGCTGAGTAAAATGTGCCATGGCACCTGTGGGCCAGCCCTGCTACTACACTAGGTAACCCCAAGGACATCAGGGGTGGGGACCTAAACCTTGGCAGCCGTAGGGCAGCAGAGATCCAGATGTGTCCCACAATCAATTTCCACTCCTGTGTGCCTTGTGTGTCCAGACTCCAGAGTTAAAGCGAGGGATGGGCGCAGCCGATTCCCTGCCTGAAAGAGGCCCCTCCTACTGGGGGGAGACCGCCCAACTTCCACTGGCGGTGGAGCCCCGAAGTGGGGGTGTTGTCAGAGCCTCAGTGGGTGGCATCTGAGATCTGCCTAGAGGGAGGATGAGGGACACAAAGGACACCAGTGCCAAAGGAGAGCTGAGATTTATTTACTAAGGGTGCTCACCTTTAACCCCAGCTCTCGGGAGGCAGAGGCAGGCAGATCTCTATGAGTTCGAGGCCAGCCTGGTCTACAGAGTGAGCGCCAGGATAGCTAAGACTGTTACACAGAGAGACCCTGTGTCACAGCATACATGTGGCGCAGTAACATATATGTACGCAAAATGCCTGTGCACAGAAAATAATAGGGAAAAAGGCTACCTTGGTGACTCAGGTCCACATAGTGGACCTGGGGTGGCTATGGGGACAGTTAAAGTGCCACATTGCCCTGCAAGCTGAGAAGCTTGCAGGCCCTGGTGTCCTTACAACTTCCAGTCTGCAGAGAAGCCAGTGTTTTGGGTTTTTTCTTTTCTTTGTTTTTCTTCTTTAAGATTTATTACATATACAGTGTTATGTATGTGTGCCAGCAGAGGGCACCAGATCTCATTGTAGATGGTTGTGAGCCACTGTGTGGTTGCTGGGAATTGAACTCTGGAAGAGCAGGCAGTGCTCTTAAGCCCTAGGCAGTCTCTCCAGCCCCCAAAGCCAGTGTTTTTATGTGGACTGATTGGGAAACACCTCTTTTGGATTCCAAAAGGCCCAGCATTCCCCAGGGTGTGTGTCTTGTGTGTCCAGACTCCAGGGTTAAAGCGAGGGATGGGCGCAGCGCAGCCGATTCCCTGCCTGAAAGAGGCCCCTCCTACTCGGGGGAGACCGCCCAACTTCCACTGGCCTTGGAGCCCCTGCCCTGACAGCTCCCTTCTCTGCAGCACGGTGGATGACAACCCTGACTTTGACAACCTGGACATCGTGTCACGGGATGAGGAAGAGCGATACTTTGATGAGGAGGAGCCCGAGGATGTGCCCAGCCCAGAACTAGATGGGGACTGAAGGCTCCACCCTTCAGCCGGTGACACACCGTGCCCGTCCGTTGCAGGCTGTCTTGGTGACTCGGGCCATCAGGGCAAGCCCCTAGGCCTGGCACTCCTCAGACAGTGCCCCCACTTCTGTTTATGGGGTTCCCACTCTTCTCCCGGGGACATCACTGCCCCGCCCCCCAGCCCACCTCTGCCTTTCTCTCTGCCGTAAGGTTTGCTGTGTAGCGCCAGCTAGCCTGTTGATGGCTTTGTAGCCCCGTCTGGCCTGAAACTCCGGCCTCCCGCCTCCCACAGGCAAATCGTGCCTGGCCTCCCAGTCTTGCTCTTACTACCTCTCCCCTCAGGCCACTGTCCCCTCCTCTAGTTTCCAAGGTCTCTAACTTGTGCCCTTCCGCCTTCCTGTTATGAGTGCTGTGCCCACAGTCTGGTGGCTGCAGCCTCTGGGCTTCTCCATCTCTGCCCTACACTGGCCACCTCTTTGCTTTCACAGAGGACCCATCTCCTCTGCAGCTCCGTTTCTGTCTCTCTCCTTGCTGTCTGTCCCTCTGTCTCAGCCCTTATGGCTCTGTTTCTCTATGTCGTGGTCTGTCCCCCCCCCAGGCATGGCAGAAGCCTGAGACTTCCCTGTGGGTAGGGGGCGGGGGGGGGGCACCCTGGCTCAGAACGCTGGCAGAGTCAGAGCTGGGGGCCACAGGGCCAGCCTGGGTGTAGGAAGAATTTGAAGGGGACTTTCCCCTACCTGCCCCCCTTCCCAGCCACAATTTTCCTTTCCTTCACTTCCTCCCTCTCCCTCTCCTGTTTACACTCTCCAAATACACATAGGCTGTTATCATGGGTCTTGAGTCATCTCTCTCACACACAACCCAGCCTGCCCCAGTATCCCTGCCTCCAGCAGGCCACAGGGCCCGCCCCACAGAGCCCCCTGCTGCCCTGGGCTAATGAGAGCCAGATGGCTGCCTGTGACTCAGCTGTGGCCTGTGGGAACCCAGACGTCCTACCTTCCCATGCCCCACACCCCGCCCCAGCAGACAGAAGGGACCTGCTACTGTGAGCATGGGGCTAGCATGTCGGAGCCTGAGGAGCCAAGCTGCTGAGACAGTCGGAGCATTCTGTTCTGGCCGTGGCTGCAGGACCCTCAAAGCTGCTTGGTAGACCTGAGGTCCTGACCCCCGGGGCAGCTAAACTCACCTGAAGAGCTACTGGGGGCAGAGGTGTTCGTGCTCGCAGAAGCTTGAAAGCTGGAAAGGTCCTCAGCGGCTCCCCCTGGGCCAGGCTGCCTGCCGCACTCACGCAGTGACAGCTCCTGACAACTGCCACTTGTCACAACCCATGGAAGCAGCCCAGAAAGGCCGTGCACACCCGAGATCACCTGGCCTCCCAGGCAGAGCCAAGACTGGAACACACTCCTCCTCCACACCGCTCGGCCAGTCAACCAGCATGTGACTGGACCGTGGAGGAGATGGGAAGACAGAATTCCTTACATGGGAGAGTGCGGAAGACGGCATGTGTGTGACAGGCTGCTGCGGCCTGGAGGACTGCTGTGAGCCCCCAACTGGCATCCCACCCTGGGACAGGAGCCAGGAGTGCTCTTGGGGGAGTTGTGTTAAGTATTGTTGGCCGGTGTTCCGTCCGATTGTTAAATTTCTTTAAGATAGAAAGGCTGCCACCATCAGTTGGTTACATAACTTTAAAAAGAGCTGAGCCGCACAGCCATTGAGTCAGTATCTGGGGTTACTCAGATGGTTGAGTCTGCAAATGAGAGGCCGAGGTGGAGCCTGCCACAGGGCTGGGGATTAGATGAGGAGACAGAGGAGGGGCAGACAGCAGAGGCACACCCTGCCTGAGCAGCCCCCATGGTGGTGGCGCCTCTGTCTCTGATCTGGGGATGGGGTGGGCGGAGAGGCTGAGTCAGGGAGGGAGAGCCCCTGTGCGGGCATCCGGCCCACACCTCCATGTCTCCTGTCTGGCCTGCCCTGGCCTGGTCTCCAATGGCTGCTGCTCTGTCCCCGTGCCTACCCCCACCTCTCCGACTGCCTGTTCCCCCAGCCTCTGCTCCTTTCTGGAGAGGTCCCTGCCTGCCCCTTACTGTCCCCATTTCCCATGTCTCACATCCTGTCTCTGACTTCAATCCCTCAAACACGTTTCTCTATCCCTGTGTCTGTAGCCTGGCCCCCTCTCCCCCTGCCAACCTTCAACCTCAATTTTTCCTGTCCCTCTCCCTGCTGGTCCATCCCCTTCCCCGTCTGTCTCCCAGACCCTGGGAAATCCAGGTCAGAGCTCCAATGGTGGCCCCTAGGAACCTAAAACAAGGGGTCACCACCTCGCCCCCACCCACGAGAGGATGGCAAGGCTGCTGGCCCGTCTGAGCAGAAGGGAATGTCTGCTGTGGCCTGGTCTCCACCCCCTCACAGGACCTGCTGGGGCCGCCCCCGGGGCTGGGGCCCAGTAAACAGCAGCGGGCAGCCTGGGGATATTTATACCCAGCCTGGGCTTAAGGCCAGTGCCCACCACAGCCCCTGCCCTGCCCTCTGCCACAGCCAGCCCTGAGCCAGCGTGGCACCCGGCAGCAAGGGGACACCGCAGACAGGCTCCACTCAGCACAAAGGCTAACCGGCACTGGCCACATAGCAGCCAATGGCCTCCCAAGACAGGAAATTCCCTCCTTTGAAAACACCAGCACAGTGAAGCCCCGCCCCCCCATCCTAGTGTTGACACCTCCAAACTCTGAAAAGCAACCCATACGGCTCACTGGCTGAAGTCACCAGACCTTGTCACCTGCTCACAAAGGCCCACCTCCACTGGTCTAAAAGGACATGCAGGCCTCAGAGCCCAGGATGGTCTCTCACATGGTCACCGACAGTCAGTATGTTAATACGTGCTGGACTGTGAACAAACACACTAATCACAAAATGCAGCCCTCGGCTGGGAGTGTGACTTAGCTGGTACAATGCTTGCCTGGGGCTTCGTACTCAGTGCTGCATAAAACCTGTCCCGGGAGCACTCTACAGAGAGAAAGAAACAGGAGTTCAAGTTCAAAGCCAGCCTGGGCCACATGTGACCCTGAGTCTGGAGATGTGATTAATAAACAACTTCCCCTGCACACTTGAAGCCCTGCTTCTAACCTCAGCAGATAGTGCAGCAGTTAGAACTCGGCCTTTACAGCTCTTCCAGAGGCCCTGGGTTCGGTTCTCAGCACCCCTGTGGGGTAAGGCTCACTACTAACCTGTCACTGCAGATCCAGGGCAATCTGACCTCTGACCTCCACTGGAACCAGCACTCACATACACTTATCCCCCATATGCACAGCTAAAACTATTCAGCTAAATCTTTAAAACACACAAAATTGTGTAACCCACAAATCACACACAATGTACTAACATGCATGTACATCAAAAATGGCTCATATAAGAAATCACACATCTTGTGAGTTCGAGGCCAGCCTGGTCTACAGAGCGAGTTCCAGGACAGCCTCCAAAGCCACAGAGAAACCCTGTCTCGAAAAACCAAAAAAAAGAAAACACATCAGCTTTCAAAAAAGATCCTTCTCACAGATCTACAAACACATAAACACCCCAGCTTCGAGTAGAACTGGCACTAACTGCAAACATTTACACGCAGGGAACTGAGGAGTTGCTGGGGCTGGGGGGCGGGGAGGAGTCAGTCCCAGATACAAAACCCACTGGTGTACCCTGTTGCCAGCGGTGGACCCACAGAGAGCACCCCAGCGTGTCACTGGCAGAAATGCAGCACTAGCCACAAACACGGGGAATAGGTGCAGGGAACACACACCCCAAATTGACAAACTGACAATGCCATGCAGGCCAAAAGCCCTCAGCAAGGGGGGGCAGGGAGGGGAGCGGAGGGGAGGGAAGGAGACAGGAGTGTATGCATGCGAGCTCTTAACACCTGTGAGGCCACACCAGAAACAAAGCACGTTGGTCTACTGTTTGCCTGGGGAGTAGGCTTCCAGGGGAATCTTGTTCCTGTCTCCCTCCCCCCGTCCCCCTCCCCGGCTCACCCAGACCCAGCAGGTCCAGGAGGGGGCAGGAAGGCCTGTGCAGGCCTCCTTGGCTGCTTCCTGCTCTGGAAACTGGACGGGAAACTGGGGCTCCAGCCGGAAGCCAGGCTCCCCCCACAACTTCCCCCATGCCCCAGCTGCCTAAGGGGCGGGACTACGCAGGGACCCTGGGCCGTGTCCTGCCCGCGGGTGGATGTTCATGGGTAGGAGGGATGTGGCCCAGCTGTGCTGGGTCAGGCCGGGACGACAGGGCAGCCCCAGGGCCAGCAGAGGTGCTGAGCCTGCATTTACCCTCCCCCACGCCTGCCAGCAGCCAGGCCTGCCTCGGAGCAACAGGCAGGTGGGCGGGCTATGTCACCATGGGCAGGGCATGGGGCACAGCCAGCACTTGTCATGTCCACAGGCAAGCTCCCGGGTGAAGGTCTGCTGCGAGCACTCGGCAACCCCGGGGGTGTGTCTGGGTGCGTGGGAGCAGCTAGTCTGGGATCCTGGGTGTGACTGTGTCTGGGTCTGTGAGGCCACTTGGGACTCCCCAGCCAGTGGGTGTGTGTGAAGGGTGCCAGACGGTAGCTGTGACCTGCTGGCCGGATCTGTGACGCGTATAAAGACCTCAGCGTGTGTGGTATGGGTGGGTTTGTGATGGGTCACGCAATGACCATGACCCGGTGCAGGATGTTTGTGTAACTGCTGGGGGGGCGGGGCGTCTGCTTCCCGAAGGGCTCTGTTGCTGTGACGTGTGGGAGCCCGTGACTGTCGGGCGCGTGGTGGAACCCTGGTCCTGTGGAATGTATCTGTGTGGCGGTCTTTTCTATCTAACTCTCCACTAATGTCACGTCCCCGTGAGGCCAGGGCTGCACTGTTTACAGTCTGTGTGTGTGTGTGTGTGTGTGTGTGTGTGGTCTGTGACTAGGACCGGGTGTCAGACTCCACACACCACTAGTTCCGGGAGGTGAGTGTGTTGGTGTGGTCGTGGGGCACTGTCCATGTTTTGGCTTCTTCTGGAGGTGGCGGGAGTGTTTAACAGTCCTTGAGGGACTCCGGTGACTACAATCGGATTCTTGTGTCCCTCTTGGGGCCAGGTCTCAGTGAGCTAGTGGCGGAGGTGACAGAGTGAGCTCCTTCTGCCCCCAAGCCACCCCCAACCCAGTCCTCAGAGGTTCTCAAACCAGGAATGGGAAGAGGCCCGGAGGCCTAGGGCCCACTCACCCGGTCTCAGTACCTGAATTCAGATCAAGGAAACCCTGCCTCCCTCCTGGACATTCCAGAGTGCAAAGCAAGTCCAGGAGCCCTGGGGGCCTGAGAAAGGCAGAGGGTAGGGGAAGTGAAATTCAGGAGAAAGGAAAGGAAACCGGGCGGGGAAAGAGGAAGCAGGAAAAATTCACAAGTTCACCCCAACAGCAAGGGAACGGAAGGGATGAAATGGCAGACGTGTGAATAACTTATTTTCCCAAGGTTACGCTCATACCGCACCACGCCCCCTTTACTTTGCTCTCAGAGACTTACCAGAACTGAGCCCCTCAATTCCATGTCTTAGGTCATCCGGTAATGCTCACCTCCCTTGTCCCCCAAGTTCTTTTGGGGTCCTTTACTTTGTTTGTTTGCTTTTTGGTTTTTCGAGACAGGGTTTCTCTGTATTGTTTTGGAGGCTGTCCTGGAACTCGCTCTGTAGACCAGGCTGGCCTCGAACTCACAGAGATCCGCCTGCCTCTGCCTCCCAAGTGCTGGGATTAAAGGTGTGTGCCACCACCACCCGGCCCTTTACTTTTGGTATGATCAAGTCTAAGGTACATGTGCAGACCCTGGGTTCAAATCCCAGCTCTGCCACTCGCTAGCTCTGTGGATTTAAAAACTAAGGGCTCCTGCAGGTTGATACTTCCACCAGTAAAGCACAAACGATCCCCACCCCCAAAAGGACCAGCAAACTTTTGGGGAAGATAGGAAATGTAATCGCTGGTTGGCTTTGAACTTGCAATGATGCTCCTGCCTCTGCCTTCTACCAAAACTACGACGGGTACCAGCACACCCAGGCTGCTCCTGAAGGACCAGGGGGTATCCCGCCCCCCTTTACAGGGCTGCAGACTCGGTTACATGGCTACAGAGAACATGTGCAGAAAGGAGCCAGTGTCCATGGGCCAGCAGAACATATTTACAGCAACGGGCTGTAGGCTGGGGTAGGCTTTGGGCCTAAGTTTGCCAACTCCAGCTCCGTTAGGCCGTGGGAAGATGGCTGTGAGCCTGGGGGGGACAGCCACACACCTGACGTAGGAGGGCTGTCACTCCCCGGCTTGTGCTGGCTCAGAGCTGACTCAGCGCCTAACACCTCCCCGTGCTCTCTTCCAATCACGTGGGTCTCTTTGCTCGATGGGTGGCACACTCCAAGGTGGCTGCCACATGTCACTTCCGGTCCTCCAAGAATGCTCTCCCCCCCATACTTCCCCTAAACTTCCTTCAAGTCTCAAACGCCACTTTCTCCTGGCAGCTCTCTCCCTGCCCCCCAAAAGCTTCTTTGCACCTTAGTACATAGTCACCCCCACCAACAACCACTGTATTTTCTTTAGAGACAAACACGGTCCCATAGCCCAGGCTGGTCTCCAACTCACTGTGTAGCCCTTGAGCCCAAGGTCCTTATCATCCTGCCTCCCCGGGAGTCCTGGCATTTCAGACGCCACGTGCCACTTTTACCACAAGGTCTCACCACGTAACCCTGGCCAGCCTCAAACTCGGAGATGCCCCTGTCTCTGCCTCCTGAGTGCTGGGGACTGACTCATCATGAGGGCCACCACAACTCGCTGAACCAGCACTTTAAACTCTTCTCCATCCATCGTCGCCCTGACAGCTGCAGGAAGGAACTCGGGCTCTCCAGGATTGTCTCAGCAGAGGCTCTGCGGCACGAGGCACTGTGAACAGCGCCGCCGGAGCTCCATCCCTGAGTCTAACAGGGTTTTCCTCTAGGGCGCCGCCATTGCCCACTGGAACCCTGGGGTCTCCAAAGCAAGCTCAGTAAGAACCGCAGGCGGCAGCCGCCCGGGAAGGACCAAGGCGCGGGAGCCTCAGGCAGGAGGGAGCCGCGATCAGGCGCCCAATGACACGGAGACCACCACTCCTCTCTCACCTTTAATGTGGACCCCCCCCAGGTGGGCATCGGGGGGTGCAGGTGTCCTTAAATACAGCCCCGGGCGCTGCGGGCGGGGCGGGGGGGCGGGGCCGGGCCTGCCGGGAGGGGCGGGGCGGGGCGGGGCCTCAGCTGCACTTGCAGGAGCGCACGATCATGTTGGACAGCTGCTCCACCTTGGGCTTGCGACCCACGTAGTACACGATGGGCAGCGGCTCCAGCGCCTGGGGCACACAGCACGGAGACGCCGAAGCACCCGGGTTGTGTTGGTTGTAGAGGGCAAGGACCTGCGGGAGGGCCAGGGTCACGACCGGGGTCCAGGGACTCTCCCGTCGGGGTCTCTCCATTGCTGCGTCTAATCTCTGAGTCTCCCCATCTCCGTCTATCTCGCTATCTCCCCTAGTCTCTATTTCCATCTGTCCCTCCCATCCCTTCTTCCCACTGCTCCGTCTGTCTGTCCCACTTAAACGACATCTGTCCGCATCCCTGCATCTCCTTATTTCTGTCTGTCTGCTCCCCTGTCCCACTGACTCTGCCCTGCTCCAATCTCTCTCTCTCTCTCCCTACCATCCCAGCCTCCGCTCCATCCCGTGAGCCAGACTCACCTTGCTGTACTGTGTGTCCAGGCTCCAAATGTAGGGACAGGGCCCCAGACAGAAGTTGGCGTGGTAGCCCTTGGGCTCGTGAATCCACTTCCAGCCCAGGTCCTTGCGAAAGTCGATGTACAGCTGCCGCACACAGCAGTTCTTCTCCGTGGAGCTGTGGGCAGGGGGAATGCGGGTCAGGAGCAGGGACAGCCTGTCCGTGCCCTGGGCCGCCCCCACCTCAGTCTCCCCCGGGACTACCCCCACCCCCCTGTCCCCCGCCCCACCCCACCCCGCTGATAACAGTTACACCGAGAGCAACCATCCAGGCTGCTGGTGAAGCCGTTCCCGACTTCACTAAATATCTGCAGGGCTGGCAACAACAAGCACGGAGAAACCCCATGCACACTCGCAGGGCCTTACAGGACGCAATACGTCAAGTCACATGCACACAAGGAACACAGAAGAGAAACCCCGGGCCCACGTGTGCTGACATGCTCTATTTGTGTTTCCTGAAGCACTACTCTGAGGTCCTGTGAAGCCGCTGGGCACCAACAAGTGCTTTGGAGGCCACTCTGTCACAGCTTGTCCCATCACTCCCCCCGTCCCAGACATGGCTCCATCCCGTTTACAGCAAAGGCCTAAGTTGTCACCGAGAGTCACAGGTGACCCGAGCTGGCTTCCCTCAGCCCCCTCTCTCGCCCACAGCCACACAGGCTTCCTCTCTAGTGCCCAGACACAGTCCTACCAGACGGGGACACACGCACTAATGATCCCAGCACTTGTGAGGAAAAGCCAGGCTGATGACAAGTCCAAGGTACTCCACGGAGAACACAGCGAGTTTGAGGTTCGCGCGAGCTACGTGACTCTGTCTCAAAAAGCCAGACACGATCGATCGGCTTTCTCTCAGCGCCCTGCACAGGTTGTACGCCTGACATGCTCTTCCCACAGATGCCCACTCTGGCTTCTTCCTTGACTTCATTTAAGTTTGGCTCAGGGTTGACAGTTAAAGAAGCCTGTCTTGAAAACCTAATGACCTGCGTGTGTGTGATTCCCCAGACACACACACACACTCACACCCATACACTCACACACACACTCACACACTCTCACACATACACACTCACACACACTCTCTCACACATACACACTCACACACTCTCACACACACTCTCACCGACATACTCACACACACTCTCTCTCACACATACATACACACACACACACACACACACACACACACACACGCGGAAGGAAAGAACAGATTCCACAAAGCCATCCTCTGCCCTCCTCAGGTGCACCATAGTATGTATGTGTGCTCACACAAAATAATAATAAAATGTAAAAATAAACCCATGTACGGCAGTGCATGCCTTTAATCCCAGCAGAGAGGCGGGAGGGGCTGGAATATCTGGGAGTTCCTGGCCAGCTAAAGCTACAAGGTGAGACCCTGCCTCAAAACAAATAAATGAATATATAAAAGTGTGTTTATGTCAGGCATTGGTGGCACATGCCTTTAATCCCAGCACTCAAGAGGCAGAGGCAGGTGGATCTCTGGGAGGTTGAGGCCAGCCTGGTCTACAGAGTGAGTTCCAGGACAGCCTCCAAAGCCACAGAGAAACCCTGTCTCGGGGAAGAAAAAAAAAAGTGTGTTTATCCAACTCGGCTCAATTATCTATCACCCAAGGAGCCTTAACTCCTGACATAGCACCAGGCATGCAACAGATGCTCACCGAGTAGCCATTATGCAAATCAACACCACTTTTCTCACAGGCCTTACTCACCACCACCCAAGCGTCCACGGAACCAATTGTTAAATTCCACCCTGAGAATTTAATGCTACAATTACTATAAGAAAATGTGAATCTCTGTATGGTTTTGGTGTCGTTGTTTCTTGATTTTGAGATAGGGTTCCTCTGTATATCCCTGGCTGTCCCAGAACTTGTTCTGAAGACCAGTCTAGCCTCAAACTCACGGATGTGCCTGCCTCTGCCTCCTGAGTGCTGGGATTAAAGGCGTGTGATACCACCGACCAGCCTATTTTAAAGACTTATATATTCATTATTTGTGTTGTCTGTGTGTGCCTAACAAAAGTTTTATGTGCACCATGTGTGTGTAATGCCCAAGGAGGCCAGAAGAGGGCATCAGGTCCCGGGAACTGGAGTTATAAATGGTGGTCCTTCTAAGTGACCATGCGGGTGCTGAGAACTGAACCTGGGTCCTCTGGAAGAATAATAGCCAGTGCTCTTAACTGCTGAGCCGTCTCTCCAGCCCACACGGGAGTGGGTCAAAAATTCTGATAATGTTGAATGCTGGGGGATGGTTGTATCACCTCTGTTGTTTCTGTCTACAAACGAAATTTCCACCGTAAAATAATCTTAATCAGAATGGGAAAATTAAGCCGGGTGTTGGTGGCACACGCCTTTAATCCCAGCACTCGGGAGGCAGAGGCAGGCAGATCTCTGTAAGTTCAAGACCAGCCTGGACTACCAAGCGAGTTCCAGGACAGCCTCCAAAGCCACAGAGAAACCCTGTCTCAAAAAACAAAAACAAAAAAACAAACAAACAAAAAAAACAGAATGGGAAAATTAAATAGTCCCCAATCTTTTTTTTTCCCCCAAGACAGGGTTTCTCTGTGTAGCCCTGGCTGTCCTGGAACTCACTCTGTAGACCAGGCTGGCCTCAAATTCAGAGATCTGCCTGCCTCTGCCTCCCGAGTGCTGGGATTAAAGGTGAGCACCACTACCACTAGGCTTGTTTTTCTGTTTTGAGACAGGCTTTCATGTAGCCAAGGCTGGACTCCAAGTCCCTTTTTAGCCAAGGCTGACCCTGAACTCCTCTCCTACCTCTGCCTCTCAAGCACTGGGATCACAAATGTGTACCACTACACTTGGCTTCAAATACTCATTTTTTTCTTGGCCTGGCTTCTAACCTGGCCCCACTGACATATTTATTCTCCTTCCCAGATGTTTCAGCATTTTTTTTTTTTTTTTGGTTTTTCGAGACAGGGTTTCTCTGTATTGTTTTGGAGGCTGTCCTGGAACTAGCTCTGTAGACCAGGCTGGCCTCGAACTCACAGAGATCCGCCTGCCTCTGCCTCCCAAGTGCTGGGATTAAAGGCGTGCGCCACCAACGCCCGGCTCAGCATTGTTTTTACTAACGAGTATCTCTCTCCCTCTCACCATGGGAAAGTCTCTCAGTCTCTCTTTCTCTCCTCTCTCTCTCCTCCCTCTTCCTCTCTCTGAGACAGGGTTTCTCTGTGTAGCCTTGGCTGTCAAGAACTCTGTAGACCAGGCTGGCCTCAAACAGCAGAGACACACCTGCCTCTGCTCCTGACTGCTGGTCAGTCTTTCATTTTTCAGACTGAGTTTTGATATGTAGCCCAGGCTAGCCTTGAACTCCTGAGAACCCTGCGTGAGTCTCCCAAAGGCTGGGAGTACAGGCAAGGCAATTATCGCCCCACTCTGCATGATCCCCAAAGGAGGGAGGATAGTTAAAACAAGGTTTCATCGTGTGGCCTAGGTTGGCTCAGACTTCATGTAGCCCAGGCTGACCAAAAAGAACACTTTAGCATCTGTGTTCATGCAAGTACCAGAGCATGATGCAAAGACGTAGGTATAGTATAATTCAAATTCCATTACAATAGAGAGGCTGGCAGAGCATGAATTAAAATGCTGGCAGTGGGTTTTTATGCCTGATGGGGTGATGGCTTTCTGGATTTTTCAAAATTCCCAGGTGATTATTTTTAGAATCAGAATAAAGTAGCTCAGAGAAGGAAAACGCAGGTCCCTCTTCCTGATACCTCCAAAGTAACTCTAAAACATGGGCAAGGGAGCGCAAGACAGTTCAAGGACCTGGGTTCAATTCTCAGCTCCCACATGGAGGCGGCTCACAACCACCTGTAACTCCGGGATCTGACATCCTCTTCTGACCCCTGTGGGCACCATGAATGCATGCAGTGAACACATCTATACAGACAAAACACGCACACATGTAAAATAAAATAATTTTTTTTTTTGGTTTTTCGAGATAGGGTTTCTCTGTGGCTTTGGAGGCTGTCCTGGAACTCGCTTGGTAGTCCAGGCTGGTCTCGAACTCACAGAGATCCGCCTGCCTCTGCCTCCCGAGTGCTGGGATTAAAGGCGTGTGCCACCAACACCCGGCTTAAAATAATTTTTTTAAAGATGAAGAAAAACTAAAATTCGGCTGGGCAGTGGTGGTGCATGCCTTTAATGCCAGCACTCCACAGGCAGAGAGGCAGGTGGATCTCTGTGAGTTCAAAGCCGGCCTGGTCTACAGAGAGAATTCCAGGACAGCCAAGACTACACAGAGAAACCCCACCTCAGAAAACAAAAACAAACAAACAAATAACAAAAACCCCACTAAAACTGGGCACACTAAAATGGAGTATGTGAACCGAGCGGGCTGCGCCCACCTGCAATCCCAGTAACAAACATGAGAGACGACTGCAAGTTCGAACCAGCCTGGTCTAAGCAGGAAGTTCAAGCCAGGCAGGGCTACAGAAGGAGACCTTGTTTCAAAAGTGAAACATGAAGCATCCGGGGATACACGGAAGCAGATACACGTAAGCGTACCACAGACAGACATTCTGGAAGGAGACACAGTATGACAACGTGGATGAATTCCAGAGCCACAGAAATGCAAACTCTGGATCCTGAGGTCCTTGTGGCCTCAACCTGCTGAGCCAACAGATGACTGGGAGGCACTGGGAGGCAGCCCTCCAGATGACTGGGAGGCAGTCCTAGGCGCTGCTGCATAGCGGCACAATTCCTTTTCCCAGTCTGCAGACTGCCACAGTACACATCGAATACCTGACTAGAAAAAGCATTGCAGATCGCACAACTCTTGGGGATAAGAGGACAGTTACATAGACTTTATCAAAGTTAAGCACCTTCTGCTGCCCCCATTTATTTTATTTTTATTATTATTCATATTTTATGAGACAGGCTCTCTTTATGTAATGTCCTGGAATTTACAACGTAGACCAGGCTGGCCTCAAACTCAAATGGACATCGCCTGCCTCTGGCTGCCGAGTGCTGGGATTAGAGACGTCTGCCACCAAGCCTGGCTATTTAAAAACGTTTTTCTGTGTATGAGTGTTTTCTTGTGCAGTGCCCGCAGAGGCCAGAAGCAGGAACCAGATTCCCTAGAACTGATGGATTGTTAGGAGACCCCACGTAGGTCCTGGGACGGAATCTGGGTCCTCATGCTCTTAACTGCTGAGCCAGATCTCTAGACGCCACGCCCTTTTCTCCAGGCAGGGTCTAATGTAGTCCAGCCCTGCCTTAAACACACTAACTGCTCATGACTTGGAACTCCTGCTTTTCTGCCTCTACCTCCCCCAGTGCTAGGATTAGAGTTGTGTTCACCGTGGCTAGATTTTGGATTTCTAAATTACGGTTTTTTGTTTTGTTTTTTTGTTTGGTTTTTCAGGACAGGGTTTCTCCGTGTAAGAGCCCTAGAACTGCGTAGACCAGGTTGGCCTCGAACTCGCAGAGATCCACTTGCCTCTGCCTCCAGAGTGCTGGGATTAAAGGCGTGTGCTGTCACCGCCCGGCTAGTTTATGGATTCTTAACTAGCTCACATCCTCACAATTATTAAGTGTCAACAGTTGCCAGCTTTCATTCCTTTTTGCCCCTGTACTCTTTTCGTTTATTTGGCTTTTGTAGAAAAGTTCACTTTCTCTAAGTAAGTGAAGAATATTTTAAAATGTACACATGAGCCAAAAGTATAAATCAATAGAGCTCAGTGGCGGCCGGGCATTGGTGGCGCACGCCTTTAATCCCAGCACTCGGGAGGCAGAGGCAGGCGGATCTCTGTTGAGTTCCAGACCAGCCTGGACTACCAAGCGAGTTCCAGGACAGCCTCCAAAGCCACAGAGAAACTCTGTCTCGAAAAACCAAAAAAAAAAAAAAAAAAAAAAAGAGCTCAGTGGCAGAGCCCCTGCCTAGAATCCCTCAGTGAGGGGCTCAGGGTGTGGCTCAGTGGTAGAGCCCCTGCCTAGAATCCCCCAGTGAGGGGCTGGGGGTGTGACTCAGTGCAGAGTGCTTCGCTACCATGTGTAAGGTACTGGGTTCCCTCCTCAGGGACACGAATGCAACAATAATAAAATTCTAGGTAAGAATTTAATAGCAACTTACTAAAATCAAATACTACTCAGAGTTCATAGTTCCCAAAATGTCCTGTACACGTCTCTTTTCCCTCTTTTTTCTCCCCTCCCTCCTCTTCCTACCTCTGTCCCCTCTCCCGTCAGTGCTGTCAACTACAGAAAAATCCTCCCTCCTCTTAGTACAGTATTTGCTGAAGAAACTGACAAGGTTTCCTAACATCTTATGCTTCCGCTGGTTACATCCCTGTGGTTGGCTCTACACTCAGCTGTGCGCTGTGTCAGGGAAACATGGTAACTGGAGCGACAGGTACCCATCAGATCACGGTCGCTCTGTGTGGCAAGCCTTCCTAGACTGCACCGTGTTCTTCCCGGGCATAATCTTGGGTTGTCACAGCTGGGGACATGGCTTGGCGAGTGAAGTGCCTGCTCTCCAACAGTGAAAACCTGGGCCTGGCCTTCCCGAGCCCACACATACATCAGGCTCAGCCCAAGCAAATACATTCTGTGTATGTGTAAATATAGACATTCATACGTGTTTACACTCTTGCAACATCTGCGTAAGTATGAGTATATACATACACATATATGTGTTTATACAGAGGGAGTGATTTTCATGATTTTCCTAGGTCTGCTCTCCAGTGTGGGAGGACAGAGCTTGCAGTTACCCGTCAGTTAATTATCAGAATTAATTAATTATTGATCTGCCGGAGCCCTCATCTGTTCCAATGTGGAGGGTGGAGAAGACGCCAAGGAGGAAGATGGAGTCCAGCGAGGACTGGCATGGAACGTCTGAGGCAGGGAAGGGACAGGTCGGCTCAGTGCTCCTAACGCCCCAGCCCTCAATTTCAAACCTTCTAGGATCTAGCATTTCAACTTTCTCGAATCTGCAGCGTTAAGGCGTGGTTATGACTCCGCCATTCTAGAACCAGGTGGCTATATACACCTGAGAATTCAAGCCAGCCTGGGCTAGAGAAGTGAATTCGGGGCCAGCCTGGAATACACAGCAAAGCCCTGTCTCGAACAAAACAGCGCTCAGCAGGGCTACAAAAGCACTCGGTGGGTAAAGGCACTTGGTGCCAAGCGTCACACCTGAGTGTCAGAACACAAGCAGTGTCCGGAGAGAACTGACTCCCAGAGACGGTCCTCTGACCTTCACGCGTCACAGGGAACACGGGTGCCCCCCCATTCACCACACACTCACTCACAGATAGAGCTTAAAAACAGAGAGAGCTTGCCATCCTGAGAGCAATCCGGACACACTAGAAGCCGCTTTCCCACTCTGATGATCTTCTCAGACCCGTCATCCTTTTTTGTTTTGGTTTTTCGAGATAGGGTTTCTCTGTATTGGTATGGAAGTTGTCCTGGAACTCGCTCTGTAGACCAGGCTGGCCTCAAACTCAGAGAGATGCGCCTGCCTCTGCCTCCCAAGTGCTGGGATTAAAGGTGAGCGCCACCAACGCCCAGCCCCAGAGCCGTGTATTTCAATGCTGTTTTCCAACATTCCGACATCTAAGCCAATATATCCAGACATCCCATCTCCCAACGTCCTCAGACAGCAGCAAAGCAGGTCCCAGTATGTTGACCCTCAAAAGACTCACATCCTGGCTTTCGCACAATCTCATACCAGATCCCGCCATTCAGAGCCCCAGTATTCACCACGTGGCATCTGCCAGCACCAAAGATCAGTCTGCCAAGAGCTCAGGATCCCCACGCAGACTCCCTTCTGACTGTGAAACCAAATGCTTTCCTGTGGTCAACACCCAATTGCTCACATTAGATTCTTCTTTCGTTAGAATCCCAATATGGCAGAAGTCTAGCTAGCCAGAACGTAACCCAACAAGACGCCCTTCCAACTCAAGACTTCTAAGGATTCTTGTAACAACGTTCCTGAATTCTCTGATCCCAACACTCCAGCAAGAAAGCATCCCTATTCTAGGGCTCTCAGCCGCCCCAGAACCCTCCAGACTGAGAGCACCAATGGCGGCATATCAGTCCACAGCCTGCAGTCAAGCCCGGGCCTGCTGCGCAGCCGCAGAGGAGCTCACCTGAAGCAGTAGTTGGTGTCCAGGGCTCTGCGATGCCGTGAGCTGTGCAGGTGCTGGGCCCTCTCCAGCGGGGTGGCCATGAGGAGCAGGAAGGGTCTGTTCATGTCACGGATGGTGCTCATGTCACCTCGACGTTTGAGGCTGATCCCTGTTTGGGTTAGGATATCAGGGTGACAGACAGACACACTCTCAGAGGGATGCGTGGGTGAGCAAGGAGCAGATGAGGTTTCAACGGGCGTGCACACGCAGAGACCGCACCAGGCAGCAGACTCACCGCTGATCTCCACGCGGAGTGCGTTGTCTTTGCTGTCACAAGAGCAGTGGGCGCTGAAGCGAAAGCCCTGTATCCCATCTGTGGGAGAGGGAAGGGATCTGAGGTTATCGCACCCGGCCTGAGGGAGGAGGCAGGAAGCTGCCCATCCCAGGGACACCTTCCTGTCACCCCACACACCTCTCACTCGCTCCTAGTCTTTACATGCTGGGCCTTCTCGCCCTTATTCAGGACTCAGCAAACATCAACCCCTCTGAGAGGCTCTGCAAGAGACATATCCCTCTCACGTTGTGACATCTTCCCCTTTCTCCACAGCAAGCAGGGGCTCTGACATTTCTGCCCATTTCCATCCTTCCCTGCTCAAAGTAGAACAGCATGTACAGAAGAGGGTTCCATCCCGCCTTCATCGCTTTCATTTTTAAGAAAGTTATATACATACATATATATGTACATATATATGCATATTATACATATGCGATATATACATATCACATGTATATAGTACATACATGGAGACAGAGAACGTGTGTGGTACATGCAGAGGCCACAGCTGAGTGCTTTCTCAATTGCTTTCCCCCTATTGCCTTCATTCAGACAGATCTCTGAACTTGAACTTGCTCCTCTGGCCAGGCCAGCGGGCCACAGAGCTGTGTCTGCCTCTCTCCACACACTCAGCCCCCAACAATGCTGGGTTTACAGGGTTACGGGCATACGCTATGCCTGGGTTTTCACATGGGGCCAGGGATGTAGAACTCAGCTTCTCCTGACTGCACTATGAAAGTTCCTGCCAGGCTGGGTGGTAGCGGCTCACGCCTCTAATCCCAGCACTCGGGAGGCAGAGGCAGGCGGATCTCTGTGAGTTTGAGGCCAGCCTGGTTTACAGAGCGAGTTCCAGGACAGTCAAAGCTCCAGAGAAACCCTGCCTTGAAAACAAAGACAAAGAAAAAAGCTCTTGCCCACCAAACCAACTCTCCAGCCCTTTTTTCTTTTGAGAGAGGGTCTCACACTGGCCACACTGGCCTCAAATTCTCAAACTCCCTATGTGGCCAAGAATGACCTTGAATTCCCAATCATCTTGAGTCTGCCTCCCAAGTACAGGGCTTAGTAGGCTTGTTCATCATCATGCATGTTGTCGTGGGTCCCTGTATTCTTTGTGCTCTGTGAAAACTGATTCGCAGTCATAAAAATAGACATCCACTGCGGTCCAGGTGCCCGGAGCAGCGTTGGTACAGAGAAAGTTAAACTTAACGCAGGTGTCAGGTCCAGCTCTAAACTCTGTGTAATGTCCTTGAATCTTCAAACGCCTCAATTTTACAGGCCACTTAGTGACTCGGCCAAGGCCACACAGGGGCCATTGACAAAGTGTAAACCTAATCTGAGGGCTTTCCCACCCTGCACTGGTAGATGGGTTTTTATTTTAATTTTTTAGATGCTAAATTGCTCGTTTGGCCAATTTTTTTCATTCATTTATTTATTTATGGGGGGGGAGGTGTGCAAACGCCATGGTGCACGTGGAGGTCAGAGGTCAACTCACATGAGTTGGCTCTTTCCCTCTACCGTATGGGTCCTAGGAACGGAACTCAACTCAGGCTGCGAAGCTCAGAAGCAGGTACCTTTACCTGCTGAGCCATCTCACCGGCACAAAGAAGGTTTCTTTTTTTCCTGAGACAGTTTCTCGGTATGGCCTTAGCTGTCCTGGAACTCACTCTGTAGACCAGGCTGGCCTTGAACTCAGAGATCCACCTGTCTTTGCCTCATGGGTGCTGGGATTAAAGGCGTGCGCCACCACGGACACGTGATACTTTTAAGCTCCTACTGTACACCAGGCCCTGCACTGGATGCTTCGGACTTGCCATCAACGGAGAGAGCAGGGATCCTACCCCATCCCTGTCCCACGGTTTTCAGCATCCTTCCTGGCGCCAGCCTGCCCGCTCCCACCATGCATCAGGCTAAGCGACACCTCCCACGAGTCTCCCCACACCCACTCTCATCCAGGGAGCCCTCCCAGATCCTCAACTTTCCCGGGCTGCTTCATCAAAGGCCATCAGAACTCACTGATGTCTCAAAGACCCTGTGGCTCTTGTGAGGGCAGGACCCAGGTTATGACTGTGTCCCCCATGGCACCCAACACAAGATCACTCATCACAGAAACCCATGGTCCTGACTGGATGAATCTGAGGATAGAGGACAGCAGACACAAGTACTATGGATGGAGAAACAGGGAAAGACTAATTTCCTCCGGACAGACGGACAAGTCAGGCCCTCCCTGGCCGCAGAGCCTTGGTCCAGGGTGATGGGGGATGTCCTCCTGTATATATGTTCTTCCTGTAGCTGATGAATAAGACACTGATTGGCCAGTAGGGGCAGGAAGATAGGCGGGGCTAGGAGAAGAGGAGAATTCTGGGGAGACAGGCGCCTTAGAGAGACATCATGTCGCCACCAAAGGAGTAACAGCTCCGGGCATTCTCCGGTAAGCCAAGACCACGTGAAAATACATAGATTAATAGAAATCGGTTAATAACTAAGACAGAGGTAGCCAATAAGAAGCCCCAGACACTGGCCAACAGTTTTATAATTAATGTTAAGTCTCTGTGTGTTTATTTGGGACTGAAGGGCGGCGGGACCTGGAGGGACAGAAACTCTGCCTTCGACAGGGAACTCTTTTATCTCCTTTTCCTAGTTCCTCCTACTCATCTCACGGACATTACCTCACATGCCCCCCTCCTCCAGGAAGCCCTCCTGAGTGCTCAACTCCAACCCTCTCCACCCTGAGCCACCACCACTTAGCTGGAAGTTGGTTCTTCTTTCAGTTACCCAAAGAACGACAGCTCTGTTGAAGGCAAGGATATGAGCTGTCTGGGTAACTGCTGTGTCCCTAGTGGCTCCTGGCAGAGCTCAGGGAATCACAACCAATCACTGACTGACCCACTGGTGAGGCCTGTGGTGTAGTTTTTGACGTTAGCGTCACGCGTGTGTGGCAGCGGGTGTTAGGCACGCTGATGCCAAGACAAGCAATAGGACTGACCCCACTGGAGGTGGGCACAGACAAGCAATCTCACCTCCTTGGTTCAGCCACTGCCGTACAACTGTGGTGACATCAAAAGACAACCACTCCGGCGTATCGGTGGGGGACAGGAGTCTGTTACCAAGGTAACGCCAGGTATTGTTGCTGTATTTCTGAATGGAAACAAAGCAAAGAGGAATGGGTAGCCACCACCCTGCCCCCAGACACCCAATCGCAACGCCATGCTACCTGACCCCACAAGCTGGCTTCCAAACGATACTCAGACACGGGCTTGGGACACATCACACTAGGGCCCTGCAGACTCCGCCCTCACATACCGTCCCCAAGGGCAGAAAACAGGTGGGGAAGACACCCCAGGCTGTGGTCAAGGTACCACGAGGCACTGCAGTCTGTACCCCAGCCTGGGAGTCATGAGGACATCGTTCCCTTCCTGGACCTCAGTTTCTTCCACAGTGGAATACTCGCTCAGCCATGGCAGCTAGGATGGTCCACTAAGCATGTGACTGCTGCTTAGCTGCTTATGACTGGTTTGGAAGTCTTGACACCCTGCATTTGGGAGAGTAGTCATTTCCTAATTTTATTTGTGGCAGTTTATTACGTTATAAATATTATTGTGTGCCCGTGTACAGAACGGTCTTCCCAATGGTGAATTTTCTTTTTAAAACCTAGCATCTCTATGTAACCCTAGCTGTTCTAGAACTAATTACGTAGACCAGGCTGGCCTGGAACTCACAAAGATCCTCCTGCCTCTGCCTCCCGAGTGCTGAGATTAAAGGCGTGCGCCACCCAGCCAGGCTTAAAACTGTTATTTTTGGCAGGACACTGGTGGCACATGCCCTTAGTCCAAGTGCTCAGGAGGCAGAGGCAGGTAGATCTTTGAGTTCGAAGCCAGCCTGGTCTACAGAATGAGTTCTAGGACAGCCAGGGCAACACAGAAAAACCTCGTCTCAAAAAACAACAACAACAACAAAAGTTGTTTTGAGGTCCGGAATAGGGACTGCTGCCTGGAAGACTACAGGAGCATTGAGACACTTGATTTCTTGGTTTGCAACAAGGTCTCACTGTTCTAAGCTGGACTTGAATGTCTGAGTTCAAGAGATCTTCCTCTCTTGTTATCTCAAGAAGCTGGGACAACAGGTACAATTACATACATCTCAATTAAAAAAAAAAAAAAAAGAATTCCTGATGACAGACTCATGTAGCCTTGCCCGGCCCAGAGGCCCAGAACACATTATGTAGACCTGAACTTTTGTTTTTAATTTTTACTTTATGTGCATTGGTGTTTTGCCTGCATGTATGTCTGTGTGAGGCTGTTGGATCTCAGACAAGTTTACTTTTGCTTTATGTGAATGAGGGCTCTGTCTCTTTGTATGCATGCATACCCTGTGCATGCCAGAGAGGTATCAGGTCCCCTTGAGCTGAAGTTAATAGTTTTGGGTCACCACACTGCTGTGAATTGAGCCTGAGTCCTAACTGCTGAGTCATCTCTCCAGTCCTGAAACTTCAAGTTTTCCCCTGAGGCGGGGTCTCATGTGGCCCAGGCTGGCCTCAGACTCCTGATCTCCTGCCTCCATCCCCCAAGAGCTGGGATGCCAAGAGTGTGCACATTCCAAGTGTGTGCACATTCCAAGTGTGTGCACATTCCAAGTGTGCGCTCCTAAAGACTCCACTGCCTTTCCTTCCTGCATTCTTCACTTCCTCACTCCTAATTTTTCCTTCCTGTGCTGAGGGCAGAACCTAATGCTTTACTCATACTGGGCAATCAGTCTACCACTGAGCCACACCCCCAGCCCCTCACTGGGGGATTCTAGGCAGGGGCTCTACCACTGAGCCATGCCCCCAGCCCCTCACTGGGGGATTTTAGGCAGGGGCTCTACCACTGAGCCACACCCCCAGCCCCTCACTGGGCATACAAACACAGATATCCATCTCATGGCTCTTTCTGCATTTTTAGAGTTCAGCCTCCCAAATTCAGCTATGTAGACTCTGTAGCCTTCAAACTGAGCCACACACACAGCCACAGGTCTGGTAGCTTGCGTTCACCTCTCAGGTTCCAAGCTCACCTGGTAGAGTTCCACGTGTTGTTCTACATTTGACTTGAATCTCTGTAGACGCAGCTCTGCCCGGGACAGCAATGGGGGTTCAGGCACTGCTTCCCGAATGTCTGACATATTGAAGAACATATAGACACTGTGTGGGACGTCTTTGGTTTTATCATAGATTGCTGGGTGGGGAGGAGCAGAAGGAAAAGGCATCAGGTAGGTGACAAGGATGCTGCACCCCACTTCTGAGCCCATGAGCCCTGACCCTGGCAGCCCAGGTCAGTGGTCCACTTGATAGTTTTTAACATTTAACTGTATTTTGTGTGTATGTGTTTTCTGTGTACAGCATGCTTGATGACTGGGGAGGCCAGAAGAGGGTGTAAAATCCCTAGAACCGGGGTTACACATGGCTGTGAATTGACCTGTGGGCTCTGGCGTCCTATGGAAGAGCAGCCAAAGCTCTTTCCCACTGAGCCACCCCTCCAGCCCCCAATTGATGGTTTTAGCCGGCTGACCTGGGGGGGGGGTCGTCTCCCTGCCTGGGTTTCCTTCCTCTCTTCTAAGTCCTACCCAGCCCAAGGAGCATCACCAAGTTCCCTTCAAGCATACAGCTGCCAAGGCCCGCCCACGGGAACTACAAGAGAGCAAGTCTCAAACCAAACAAAACAAAACAAAATTGTAGAGTCGGGGACACAGGCATAATCTGGGGGATTAGGGAGTCTCAGCCGCCTGGGTTAGGGTGCTCCTGCACTGAGCCACACCCACAGTGCCTCCATAGGCTGGTTCTAGGTAGCAGCTCAGCTGCTGGACCACACCTCCAGCCCTTTTGTGGTGAGCCCCAGAGAAGTGCCCCCCATACCGCTGGGCCAGGCTCCCGTCAATCTTTAGAAAAACACTGGTACCATTGAGTTCTGACTCCCAACCCAGGATGTCATAACTAAAGTGCCCTGTAACCTGTAGTGGGCAAATCCCTCTCTAGCTGTAAGACATCATACAACTCCAGGGTTACAGGAGCAGACGAGGTTCAGGACACGCGGGTCAACAATGTATATGTTAGCCAGTGCAAGTGTGCAACCAGCACTTAGGAGGCTGAGTCAGGAAGACCTTTGAGGCGGAGGGGCTAGCCTGGGTGCATACACTGAGACACTACTCTCTGTTTTTTTTTTTTTTTTTTTTTGAGGGGCGTGTGAGAGGAATATGGTGAGTGGTAAAGCGATCACTTGAAACACCTTACACAAAGATGAAGATGTTGACACGTCACAACGGGAGAAGATGCATGCGATGTTTGTTGACTTTGTTTCTGGAGATGGGATCTCACAGCTTGGCCTAACCTCAAACTCACTGTGTAGCCAAGGATGGTCTCTCGACCTCGCTGGTGCAGGGGTTACAGTCATGGACCACTTTGCCTGGCAGACTGTGGTCTTCATCCCTAAACTCTGCTACGTCCTGGTCAGCATGATGTTACTACTATCGGCGTATCATCAGCATAGTAGCCAACTGCCTTTCTAGGTAAGAATGGGAGCCCCATTTACTAGAGGGCTTCCTAGGCTACAGGATGTTTGAGTTGGGGGATGAAGGCAAGGCCCTGAATCAATTATGCTTTTGGCTTCCTGCGGTGGACATGAGATGATGTCCCAGGCATCGATAAAGGGCACAAGACGCCTCTTCCTTGTGCCTTTTTGCTAAGGGCCCTATTCTCGGCCCAGCTGTTACTCAGCAAACCTCAAAGGAAGGGTAGCATCTCAGCTGGGGGTAACAGATAGGGGCGAGATAGGAGGGCAGGAAGGAGTACGGGTGTCACCGAGGGAGACGGGGTGACACAGAGATGAGTAGGTACGGGGGAGAGGAGGCACGGAAACGCGGAGGCAAACGCCGGAAGAGATAAGAGCGTCTGAGAAGAAATAGTCTCAGGGGAGAGGGAAGGACTTCTTCGAAAGGGTCACACTGAGCAGTGGCCAGGGAGGGGTGTCCTTAGGCTGGAGCCACAACTGGGTACAGCAATGTGCAGCCCTCCAGGGGACATCCGACCCCTAAAGCTCGCGGGTCGCGCAAGGTGCCGGAGTCCCGCGTGGGTGCCGACAGGGCGGGGCTGTGCGTCCCCCGCCCCCTGCTGGGGTGAGCAGGGCGGGAGACTCACAGCCTCGGGAGGGCGGGATCCGGACCTGCCCCGTCTCGCCCCAGGCTCGCCTCCCCCCTCCCGGGCACGGGAAGGAAAGGGAAGGGAGGAGGGCGAGGCGGCCGGACGCTGGGTTTTCCCCAGCCTCCCCTAGGAGGAACTGGGACTCTGGGGGTGCAGCCGGCCAGGGTTCAGCTCTGCCGGGGTCCTCTCGCCCCCTCAGGAAGCGCAGGCCCCTCCCCACGCGCGTGGCACCCACGTGGGGCTTTCTCACCCTTACCGGCTCGGTTTTCTCATGTGGGTTTTGTAGACTGCTCTCCCCCCCCACCCGCCAGCCCCCAGCCGCTCCCCTAGGGCTCGACTCCTGGGGCTCAGCCACTCCCTTCCACGTCCGGGCGAGGGGTGCTCGCCATTCACGCCTGGACCGCACGGTGTCCCCGCTCCAGCCGCCCCGCGGGGCCATCTTCCCACGCCAGTCTCCCCTCTTTTACAACTCCTCTCCAATGACCCAGTATTCTAGATTTCTTAGGGACTCGCTCGCTTCCTCTACGGGGCCCCGCCTGCGCGCTCGCGCGCTCTTCTTCTACGTCCCTAAGCAAAACACCTCCGGGCTCGTTTTCCGCACCCTCTCCGCTCCTCTTCCTTTTAGCCTCCTTTTTTTTTTTTTTTAACAACTTCGCCTCCCTCCCCTTTTCCAGTCAATGTATCGCTCGCGGCTCCACGGTGACTCCACAGATGCCCCTATCCAGCGTGCGCCTGGCGCCGTCTGGAAGCGAGCCCACTCGAGTCTATCTGGCAGTTCTAGGGTCCTCACCCCCTAGTTTCCCTGTCCCTGGGTCTCTCCTCTCCATCTCATGACCCGATCTAGCGTCAGCTTTCACGCCGCCTCTCCTTTCCCAAATGATGATGGGGCGCCTTCCAATCTCTTGAGCCGGGCTCTACCTTTCTGCAAAGGGGGCCCAATGAGCCCTGCGTTTTTAAGCACCGCAGTGGGAAACTTTAAAACTACAAAATCTGCTAGACGCTCCCTCTTCTAGAGGGAACTCTCCCCCACGACCTTGCTGCCTTCTAGAAGAGGTCTCTCTTCCCCGCTAGACCAGCACCTTAGCAGGGGCTATGCTCTGTCCTCTTGGGGACACCCACGCACTCGTTCCCGGAGCCCCCAGGAGTCCCTCCGGCCAGCTTCCCCCAGTGACCCCTGCACTGCGGCGCCCCCTGCGGGCTCCCTCCCGGCTCCCCCGGCGCTCACCGTTGCTGCGCTCCACCATGAGCACGCGGGTGACCTCTTTGGCGTAGTAGTCCGCCTCGGGCTCAGGCTCCGGGTCGGCGCTCTCGCCGGCTACCCGGTCTCGGGTGCTGTTGTACAGAGCGAGCACGGCCTCGGGCAGCGGGCCGGGCGGCACCTCCCCCTGGCTCGGGGGGCTGGCGAGCCGGAGCTTGGACAGGATCTGGCCGCGGATGGCTTCGATGCGCTTGCGCTTCACCAGCTCCATGTCGATGGTCTTGCAGGTGGAGAGTCCCACGGCCGGCCTCCCGGGCGTCAGCACGAGAAGCCACGGGAGCGGGAGCAGAAGCGGCAGCAGCCGCAGCCCCGAGGGCGGCATGGGAGAGGCGGCGCCCCGCGGCGAGGCGGAGAGCGCGGACCCCGGGCTAAGGTGGGATGCGGGGTCCCCGCCCCTGCAGGGCCCGGGAGGGGGGTCTCCCGCGGGAAGGTAGGAGGCAGCCCCGAGTAGGTTGAGGTCGAGCGGGGCTCTGACACGGGGCGTCTCGGTGTGCCCCCGGGGTCGGGTGGGGGTCGAGATGAGCGCTCTCTGGGACCGAAAAGGGGGTGCTCTTAAATAGGGGAGCTGCCGCCAGCGGGTGAGTGAGGCCGGCCTCCCGGGGGAGGGAGAGAGGGTCCCGGGGCGCGGGGCACTCGGGACGCAGGCTGGGGGGAGGGCGGCGTGCGAGGGGTGCGCCCCGGCTTCGGGGTGAAGTCTTCGCGGGAGGCGGGGCCTGCGGCTCCCGAGGGCCGGTCCGGAACGGGGGCGTCCGAGGAACGCCGTGCAGCGAGCGAGCGTCCACGACGGGGAGCAGGGAGGTCCGCCGTCCCCGGGTCCTGCCTCCCCGCGGGGCAGCGCGGCGCCAAGCGGTCCCCGCGCCTCCGGCTCACAGTAGCAGCGGAAAAGTCTCAAAACTTTTTTTTCCTCTTCTCCCAACCAGCTCGTCCCTCCTCCCGCCCCTCCTCCCCCTCCTTCCCGCAGTGGCGGCGGCGGCGGCGGCGGCGGCGGCTGCACTCAGATTCTGGGGCCTCGGACGACTCGGCGCCTGCTCCTTCGCCGGCTCGAACTGAGGGCCGGCTCCGCGGACGGCTCAGAGCCGGGGGTGCCCCGAAGGGGCGTCCCCCTGCCCCGGCCGGGGGCCTCGCTGTCCGGAGGATCCGCGGCGGCGGGAGGAGGAGGGGGACGGCCTGGGGCGCGAAGGGCGGCGGCGGCGGGGACCGGCTGGGGCGGCGGGGGTTTTGAAGCCGCCCCGGCCCCACCCAGGAAGCGCGCGCGGGGCGGGGGCAGCCCCAGGGGGAGGGCATGGGGGGGCCACCGTCTTCATCTAGCGTGGGCGGGCTCCGAGGGGGGTCCCTTCGGCCCTGCGGGAGGGGGCGGGCACCCCGGCCCCGCCCCACCTCCAGGGTGCTGCCTCCTGGCGGCCGAGCGCTGCCAAAGCGGGTGACCGAAGCTTTCGCCCGGTAGCTTTGGGGGCTGATGAAGGGCCAATGGGAAAATGGGGCCTTGACGAGAAAATAGCATCCCGGAGGTGATACTGGAGGTGGGGACCTAGGAAGGAGGGAGTGCAAGGCTGGGACAGACTTTGGGTCTACGGAGGAAGGAGGAGGATGGGGACATCTGAGAGCTGCCGCAGGTACAAGGAGGCACCATACCCAAAAAAACAGCGAGCTTTTATTGAGTGTCTCCCACAGGCCCAACAGCCACTCCCTGTGGCCCACAGACCTACTAGCCAGTGATTCAGTGGAGCATGGGCCTCAGGGGAGTGTTCCTGGCCTTGCAGTCCTAGCTAGGACAGGAGGGGCCACGACTTGGCTGGGGTCAAGCAAGCCTGACAGTATCCATAGTCCATGTTCTTGGCCGCTGTGCCATACTGTGACCGGTGGCGGCCAAGTCCCTCAACACTCCACGCCGTAGCGATCGAAGTGGCGCAGCAGCAGCCCCACGGCTAGGTGCACCGTGCCTCCCGCGGCCGTGTGCAGGCGATAGCGGTCAGCCCCGCTGTAGATGGTGTCGGCGTGCAGCAGCTGGGGCCCGCCCCCCACGAAGGCCCGCGCCAGCTGCTCCCGCCAACTGCCCAGAGGCCTCCATGTAGGGCAGTCCAGCTGGTGGGTGCCTGGGCTGCTGGGCACATGGCAAAAGCCATAGCCAGCAAGCTGGCAGCGGCCAAAGCTGTCCTGGGACCACACCTGGAGATGGAGTCGAGGCCAACCTGCAGGACAAGAAGGGTTAGGCAAAACAGGAGATGAAAGGAGGCAGCCGCGTGCCCCTGGGTTCCCACCTCCTGGAAACCACTGGAGGCCTTGGCACAGTCCTTTCACCTTTAATTTCCTCCCTGGGTTCCCATCCCCCACCGGCTCCACATAGTGGTCACAGGGCTCTATACACATTCACATTCAAAACCCTTCCACGGCTCCCCTGTGCCACAGCTGAAGTCCAACCTCTTGGGTATGAAAGGCCTCTACTGACCTCCCTTTGTGGCCTCCTCTGTCTCCCTGTGACAGAACCCACCGCTCTCCCAGCCCCCGAGGCAGGACCTCAACTGAGACCCCTCTCGCCCTCTCTCCTCATGGAGGGGCTGTGTTCTCCGCACCTGTCCTTCCCCAGTGCAACTCCGCCTCTCCCCTTCGTTGGGTTCCTAGTGTCCCCAAAGCACAGCTGAGCTCCCTAGCCTGCCAATCAAAGCACTCGGAGATCCATCTTCCCCTCCACCCTGAGCCCTCCCCGTTGGGCCCTGTTCTAGAAGCTGGGGACACAGCGATGAACACAGCAGACAAAAATTCCTGCCCTGTGCAGCTGACATCCTAGACAACCAACATAGTAAATAAGTAAATTACAGGGTATGTCAGATGCGGATAACTGCTATGGAGGAAAATAACGCCAGGGAGGGGGGTGGAGATGTACTTTGGGGAAGGAGGGGGAGGAAAGGAAGCTTTGCTGAGAAGGTGACATTTGGGGCTGAGCACCACGGTGTATGGCGGGTGTGTGGCTGTCATGCCAGCACTTGGGAGGTAGAGGAAAAAGGATTCCCAAAAGTTCAAGGCTAGCCTGGTCTACATAATGAATTCTAGGACAACCAGGGCTATCTAGGAAGACATTATCTGGAAGGGTGAACTTTTTGTGCACACTTGGGATGCTGAGGTTCCAGGCTAGCTTGGACTACGTTCAAAGTCTATCTGTAAAGCAAACAGACCAATCAGAAAGCTACACATACGCTTAAAGGGAGCAGCCATGTAGGCAACTAGGGGACGAGAGGTCCCAGCCACAGCAAAAGTCCTCCCGTTGGATGCAGCTGACCCGGTAGGAACAGTGGGGAGAAAGGCCAGAGGTGTCAGCCAGATTCCATAAGCCATGTGACAGCAGGGAAGACTCCCGCTGTATCCTGAGTAAAAGGAGAGCTGCTAGAAGGTTCTATACAGAACATGGTGAGACTTAGGTCTCCCAGGCCCCGGCTAGCTGCATGTGGGGGCAAACCCCGAGGCCGGGTGTGGAGCCCAGTGAAGACTGAAGGATGGCCCAGGAAAGATGGACAGGGCAGCCAGGGGGTGAGAAATACAAGCTGGGATGTATTTCAAGTGGGATTTTAGAGCCCACAGGATCTGTTGGTGAGCACAATGGGGGACTAAGAAGAGCGAAGGCAGGGGGAAGGCAGCCTAAGGCCAGGCGTGCAGAGATGATGGTTTATTGTCTCATCCCCTAACACGTCACCTGCCCAGAAGCCGGTGAGTGTTCAAAAGCACAATCAGGTCGGTCCCCTTCTTCCTGCCCCCGCCATCCTTCAGGAGACGGACTTAGTGTCTTTACAGCCAAGGCCCTGCATTCTGCTCCCTGCAACAGCATACTCCTCCCTCCTCCCCCACGCCCATCAAATGCCTGGCTCGCTCTTCTCCCTGGGCCTTCAACCTGCTGCAGCTCTCTGCCTCCACCCCTCTTCTGTCTTGGGCCTGGTTAGCACCTCCTGGCCCTTCCCAGCAAAGCTCCAAAGGCTGGCCCTTCCCAGCAGGTCGTGTGACTACCCAGAGACTTCTGGGTTCCCACGGCCTCTGTGCTGGACCCATCTGGAAACGGGTCTATCTAGCTTCTACCTGCAGTCCTGTCTTGCTTTGGGGTGTCCTTGCTCAAGATGGACAGGCACAGACTCAGTCAACAGTACTGATATTGCTGAAATGCCCAGGCCGTTTCCCAGAATCTGCCACGTTTTAACCAGAAACGCTGTGCTGATGCGATACCCTCCTCCCTCGGACGCTCACTTCCCCTTTGAGCCGGGCCCGTTCCTTTTGTGAGCAGAGGCAACTGGGCCCATTTCCTGCCCCTCTCCTCCCCATCTAGCTCTCTTTACCCCTCCCAGCCTCCTCCTTGCCCTTTACCGGAAGGCAGCCCCCCCACTTGACCCCTACTTCCTGATATCTCTTCTACTGCAACTTGTGTCACATTCCATGGGCCTCGGGTTTTCTATCGCTCAGGTCGGGCCTCAGATCCACCTCTCCAGAGGATACCGTGCCAGGAAAGGGGCCACAAAGTATGAGGAGCGGGGACTCCGACCCCAGTTCCTCCTAGCGTGACTGGCCCACTCCTCTTATCCCATACCCACCTTGGAGACCTTTGGTGGCGAAGTGCAGGTCAATGGGGTGGGACCAGTAAGCCATATCCCCTATCTGAGGCGTGTCCACCTGCGTCTGGCCCTCCCGCACACCCGACAAGAGCTTCCATGCAGCCCCTGTAACGAGAACCAGGACACGCAGGGGTGTAGGAGAGTAGCAGCCTGCAGGGAGGGAGCCTACCGCGGCTACAAGGCTGTTTCTCCCTGGGGGTGGGAGTTACTCCCTGGGGGTGGGAGTTACACAGCGCCAACTCTGCAAATATCTGGGCTCAGGTCTTGGCACCGGAAGTACACACCTGCAATCCATCACTTGGGAGTGAGCTTGTCTGAGGCTTCCCTGGGTTGCCTGTTAAGTTTCGGGTCAGCACAGGCTGAAGTGTGGGTCCCAATCTCTAAAGGAAAACTTGGGGGGGGGGAGATGGACAGCGCACTAAAGAGAATGAATCTCGGCACTATTCGCTGGGCGGTGGCTACGCACGCCTCTGATTCCTGAACTCGGGAGGCAGAGGCAGGCGGATCTCTGTGAGTTCGAGACCAGCCTGGTTTGAAGAGTAAGACGTTCCCGGGACAGCCAGGGCTACACATGGAAACCCTGTCTCGGAAACCAGTAAATAAGTAAACAAATCCTGGTACTATTCATATATGTATTATGTATTTTTTTGTTGCTTTTTGTTTTTCGAGACAGGGTTTCTCTGTATTGTTTTGGAGGCTGTCCTGGAACTCACTCTGTAGACCAGGCTGGCCTCGAACTCACAGAGATTCGCCTGCCTCTGCCTCCCGAGTGCTGGGATTATAGGTGAGCGCCACCACCGCCTGGCTGTATTATGTATTTTTATATATTTTTGCAGTGTTGGGGATAGAACCCCTGCCACTGAGGATGCTAGGCAGTCCCTAATCTTACCTCCTTTGTCTGTGCAACCTTAGTTAGGCAAGTTACTTTCCCCTAGCTTGTAGGGTGGTGGTGGTACATGGCTTTAATCCCAGCATCATCATACCCAGCTTGTCAGCTGGCCTGAGGACTGGTGAAAGTGAGTTCATGCATCCACCCAGCAGCCCCCTATCCTCAGGGCTTGGGTTTTCACAGGGTGGGATAACCCGAGAAAAAGGATTGAAAAAAAAAAAAAGCAGAAGGCATGGTCTGAGCCAGGAGTTCACTGAGAGTGGAAGAGAGAACGCAGGGACTTAGGCCGGGGGAGGGGGGAGACGAACCGGGCCTGGGGAGGGTACCTGTGTGGATGCCCCACTTGCAAAAGAGGCTGCTTTCAGAGAAGCCGGTGGCCCCTATGATCTGCCCGATCACGTGCACTTCAGCCATGGTTCTAGGAGGGGAGAAATTCAATCACGACCCTGTGAGCTAAGTGTTTTATTATTTTCATCGGACAGCTGGAAAGACTTAAGTCCATCAAGTTAAGAGCGGTACTGTGATTCCCAGCTAATTCCATCGACCCTGTGACAATGAGGTCTTCACCACCGGCACAAGCCACCTCCCCTGAAAAGCCCAGGAAAAACAGGGAAGACACTCAGAGGTGCCGGGAACCTGCACAAATAAACCCAGGCTCAGATCCCTTAGGAAGCCCCACCCCTTGGAGGCACGGCCCCGCCCACACGCGCAAGGCCCCGCCCCTTCGCGGGAGATCCGCCCAGCTTCAAAAGGCGCATGCGTCACGGGTGCGGGCCCGCTTTACCCCGCCCCTAGGCGTAGCGCATGCGTCATCCCTACCTCCGCGTACTCGACCGTTGGGAGCGAAAGCTGCCGCGGGGAAGGCAGTTCACGGGCCTGGCCTCTTCCTCTTGGCGGGCGCCGTCGAGGCCAGTCTCGCGCCTCGCCCGGGCCCTTCCGGAAAGAGGGAGATCTGTGCCCGGGTACCTCCGCAGCTGCGCTCTCCTCCGGTGCCCCAGTTGCTGGGGCAACAGCAGGCTCCTCCCCGGGTGCCCGCCCTGCGCGCTGATTGGCGATGTAGCTGCGCTCTGGGGGCGGGGCATAGCTATGATGGACACCTTCTCTCGGTCCGTTTTGGGAAAGCTGCGTCGGTCTGGCTGCCGCCTCTGAGCACCCAGAGTGGGGCGTGTGGCCGGGCAGCGCCTTCCAGACTGCTGCTGAGGAAGTCTGAGCGCCAACTGTCTCCTCTGTGTCTTCACACAATAAGCAAATCTATCGATGCTGTTTGCTTTCTTTTTTTGGGGGCGTGGGGGAGACGAAGGTCCGAGACTGGGTTTCTCTGTATTGTTTTGGAGGCTGTCCTGGAACTCGCTCTGTAGACCAGGCTGGCCCCGAACTCTCAGGGATCCACCTGCCTCTGCCTCCCCAGTGCTGGGATTAAAGGTGAGCGCCACCAACGCCCGGCTGCTGTTTCTTTCTTTAAAAGAAACAAAAACAAAAAACAGCGGTGGGGGCGAAGGTCTTTAATCCCAGCACTTGGGAGGCAGAGGCTGGTGGATCTCTGAAATGTAGGCCAGCCTGGTTTTGCAAAGAGAGTTCCTGGACAGTCAAGACTGTTACACAGAGAAACCCTGTCTCAAACAACGACAAACACCTTTCCTGTTCAGGACTACAAGTCAGAATGGAGCCGCTGACACCTAACGGGCACCTCAAGGAACCCCCATCCTGGGCGCCTCTCTGTGCTACAGCCGGAGGGAAAAACAGGTCCTGACACTAGAGAAACTAAGAAGTATGTGTTCTCTTCCGTTTTCAGAGCTCCCCCGGAAACTAAGTTCAACTTTTTAGAGCTGCTGCAAAGTTCATTCTCAACAGCTGATTTTGGGCAAAGAGGGTCGAGTAGGGATAAAGGAGGAAGAGTTGGCTCGCCAGAGTGCCTACTTTGCTCTTCCAGAGGACAGGAGTTCAGTTCCCAGCACGCTAACTCCAGTGTGGCCCTCTTCTGGCTTCCCTGAGGACCCCACATATGTGGCACACACAAATAATAAAAATAAATCCTATAAAAAGAAAGGAAACAGCCCCTTTGCAAAAACAAAAAGAAAACTCCACTTTTTCTTAATTTTTTTTCACTAGAGACTAAGTTTAAAATTTAAAACATTTTATGATGAGTATGGTGCCACTTTAGAGCCTGAGTCAGGAGGATTGCTGCAAGCTCCAAGCCAGCCTGGGCTATTGAGTGAGTTCCAGGGGAATGCACTCTGTAGACCACACTGGCCTCAAACTCACAGAGATCTACCTGCCTCTGCCTCTGCCTCCTGAGTGCTGGGATTAAAGGTGTGCCCACCACTACCTGGCTCGTGCTCTTTTTTTTTTTTTTTTTTTGGTATGGGTGTTTTGCATGTACATCTGTACACCAGATGCATGGAGTGCCTGCCATGGCTGGAGGAGGGCATCTATGTGGTCTCCTGGAGATGGAGTCACAGGCAGTAATGGTTGCTGAGGACTGCACTTGAGTCTTGTGGAAGAGCTGTGTGCATGTGCTCTTAGCAACAGAGCCATCTCTCCAGTATGGTCGTACGGTATTTCCTGTATTGACTTATTTCATTCATTCCGTGATACCGCCACACAGGTTTATCCATACTGTAAGTGTGTGTTAGAATTCCCCTCCTTTGGAATGCCACAGGGCATTCACTGTAACTATATGCCACATTTTATTCAGGTAGTAACTTTCCTGTTGCCCCAGCCTTTTGGCTACTGCTGTGGACATGCAACCTCTTTAAACACATCTTTAAGCCAGGCCTCTGCCTCCCCAGTGCTGGGATTAAAGGTGAGCGCCACCAACACCCGGCTGCTGTTTCTTTCTTTAAAAGAAACAAAAACAAAAAACAGCGGTGGGGGCGAAGGTCTTTAATCCCAGCACTCGAGAGGTAGAGACAGGTGGATCTCTGTGAGTTCGAGACCAGCCTGGTCTACAGAGCGAGTTCCAGGACCTCTTCCAAAACAATACAGAGAAACCCTGTCTCAAAAAACCAAAAACAAAACAAAATTAAAACAAAACCAAACAAACCCATCTTTCAGTTCTTCTGGGTATTTCTCTGGAAGTGGGATTTCAGAACCATGTGGTAATTCTCTTTTAACATTTGCGAGGAAAAGCCATACTGTTTTCCAAGGCAACTGTAACGTGGCTTCACACCTTGGTGTTTTTTTTTTTAATTTTTTTCACTCTGTGGCTCATCTTGGAAACAGATTTAAGTCACTCTTTTCAAAAATAGCATTTTCTAAGCATCGTGTACAGAAAAGCACACAAGTAATAAGTGAACATCTTGATGAATTTCATAAACTGAATATACCTGCTATGAAGAGAAGACAAGGTGTGGTAGTGGAGGTTGTGTAACTGTTTCCTCAGAATGGAAATGTCCCATGCAGGAGAAAGATTCTTCGGAACCAGGAAGGAGGCCAGAGAGAGGAGTCAGTTGTTAAGAGTGTATGCTGCTCTTCCAGAGGACCTGGGTTCAGTTTCCAGCACCCATGCCCAGTGGCTTACAACTGCCTGTAACTTCAGATCCAGGAGAGCTGCACAGCACCCTCTCCTGGCCTCTGCAATCTACACACACACACACACACACACACACTATATATATATATATATATATATATATATATATATAATATATATGGAGAGAGAGAGAGAGAGAGAGAGAGAGAGAGAGAGAGAGAGAGAGAGTATCTAACTTGTGCTGTCCTGGAACTCCCTCTGTAGACCAGGCTGGTCTTGAACTCACAGAGATCCCCCTGCCTCTGCCTCTGCCTCCCGAGTGCTGGAATTAAAGGTGTGTGCCACCATACCTAGCTAAGAAACCTAAAATCAGAAAGGAAAGAAACTATGTGTGATGGTTTCTCTCAAGCATTCGAACACTTGGTCCCCAGTTGGTAGCTGTTGGGGAAGGCTTAGGAAATGTGGCCTGGATGGAGGAAGCATGTCACTGTGTCACTTTGAGATAGCGTTCTCTGACTCCTACTTGTGGATCAAGATGTGACGTCTCTCAGCAGCTGCTCCAGGCACCTGCTGCCATGCCTTCTTAACTCTGCCTTTTGCTGGCTGTCTCTCTCAATTGTTAACCCATAACTAGTAATCTATGGATTTTTAAATGACCTTATCTTACCAGAGAATGCCCTGTATGTCCTATCTTCCTGGTAGCTACACGGCATCTCTCTCAAGGCCTCTCTCTGCCTCCTCTTCCCAGAATTCTCCTCATCTGGTAGCTCTGCCTATACTTTCTGCTTGGCTATGGACCAATCAGTGTTTTACTCATCAACCAATAAGAGGAACATATATTAACAGGATACAGAAGGACATCCCCTACCAATGCAGCAGGAAAAGTATAAATGTGACACTGCATTTTTTTTAGCATCATATTAGAGGCAATAGAATACACAGTGAGGGTTTGAGGGTGTGGCTCAGTGGTAGAACCCCTGCCTAGAATTCCCCAGTGAGGGGCTGAGGATATGGCTAGGGCACAGTCGCCTACTAGCATGTAGGAGATCCTAGATTCTCTAGCACAACACACACACACACACACACACACACACACACACACACACACACAAAATCCATATTCTAGGCCTGTCACAAAAATAAGAAATAAGACTCTAGGCCTTTCCTGGTCTTCTGGAAGAGTGGTCTAGGGAGAGTCTGCAAGGCTGATGATGATGGTCATGGTTCTGACTTGACAGGAACTCATCTCTGGAATGGCAAGAGGAGGATGGGGTGTCCCTGAGCTCAGTGATCTGATGAAAAACAGGCTGGTAGGAATTCACACTCTCATCCCATGAGCCTCAAAGTAAGGCCTACTTCGTGACAAGTACTGTTTCATGCCGGAGGCACTGCCATGAACAATCGAGAACAAACCCAGCCCGCGGGAGATGATGCTAATGGGATCAGTCAGGAGCCGTACACAAAGGGAACACATTGGCGGTTCTTACTCGGTGCAAAGGACAACTACAGCAAGGGAAAGGAACTAGTAAATCCCTTCTGGCAAATTCTGTCCTGCCCCTGCCCCTGGCATTACCCCTCCCTGGGTCTCCCTGCCAGAAACCCAGGCTGAGCCAAGCGCACTCCCAGACGCCATCTGCTCTCCCTGGGAGTGGGGCCCGTGCCAGCTTGAGCGTCTGGACTCTTGGCACGGTGCCCTGGCACTCTGGGGCTAGGGAACTCCACAGCCCTGCATCAGGCTGGGGAATCCTCCTGTCTGTCCAGAAGGAGGGCTGCAGGGGAAGGGGGCTAGGCGAGCTGGGTGGGCTCCCAGAAGGAGGAAGTGGCTTGGGGGGCCAGGGGAGTTCTTCGTCAGCTAAACGGACGTGAATTAGGAACAATAGCATCGATAAACACGCTACACATGTTCTCCGTGCCTACTTTGCCAGGCTTCGGGTAGATGTGTGGGTATTTGTTGTCACATCTAAGTTAAATCCATCTGTTGGGCTGTTGGAATAGCTCAGTGGGAAAGGGAGCTTGCTGCTAAGCCTGATGATCTGAGTTCGAGCCCAGGAACCCACCTGGTGGAAAAAAAAATAAGTAATTCCTAGCCGGGCGTTGGTGGCGCACGCCTTTAATCCCAGCACTTGGGAGGCAGAGGCAGGCGGATCTCTGTGAGTTCGAGACCACCCTGGACTACCAAGCGAGTTCCAGGGCAGCCTCCAAAGCCACAGAGAAACCCTGTCTCGAAACCCCCCCCAAAAATAATAACTAATTCCTACAAGTTGTCCCCTGACTTCTACACATGCTTGTTGCAGGAGCACCACACTGAAATAAATAAATAAATAAGCAAACGTAATGAAAAAAATAAAAATATGGGGCTGGAGAGATGGCTCAGCGGTTAAGAGCACTGACTGCTTTTCCAGAGGTCCTGAGTTCAATTCCCAGAAACTACGTGGTGGCTCACAACCACCTTGAATGAGATCTGGTGCCCTCCGCTGGCATGGAGGCAGAAGACTGTATACACAATAAATAAATAAATAAAAATAAAAATATGAGGCCGGGCGTTGGTGGTGCACGTCTTTAATCCCAGCACTCGGGAGGCAGAGGCAGGCGGATCTCTGTGAGTTCGAGACCAGCCTGGACTACCAAGCGAGTTCCAGGACAGCCTCCAAAGCCACAGAGAAACCCTGTCTCAAAAAACCAAAAAAAAATAAAAAAATAAAAAAATAAAAATATGTATGTCATCACATCTAGGAGGCATATGTCCTGAGTTTTCAGATGAAGAAATAAAGATTCAGAGAGACGAAGCTATGGTCCAAGTACCCTGAAATACCTGCGAAGGACCTGTGTACAGAGAGTCTGACCCTGAAGTATGGACCACACACACCTACACCACTAAAGGATGCTTGCTTGGGCTGGAAAGATGGCTCAGAGGTTAAGAACACTGACTGCTCTTCCAGAGGCCTTGAGTTCAATTCCCAGCAACCACATGGTGGCTCACAACCATCTACAATTCAATCTGCTGTATATGTAATAAATAAATAAATCTTTAAAAAAAAAAAAGGATGCTTGCTTATAGCATCCCATCCTGGACCAGCCTTGGCCTCCGTTCTTGGGAAGCTTCACTCAACTTTTCTACTCCGGTTTCTTCCTTCCCGCTGGGGTCAGCAAGGAATTCTGCCTTGGATTAGTTATAGTCTGCTGGTGCAGGTTTCATTTGCTTACCTCGGCGCAGGAGCCAGTGTTTTGGCCTCAGTTTCTTCCCCTGCAAAGCAGGGGTGAAAGCGGAGTTGCTGAGGGAACGAACGCGCTATTGGAAGAACCCAGCACAGGGCCTGGATTCCGCATCCCCAGTCATGAACAAGCTGTGTGCTCTCCGACCAGTTACTTCAATTCTCTGTGCTCTTTGCTGCCGTGAAAAGGCCGCCACACACAGTGCTTCTTGGAATTGTTCTGTGGCCGTGTGTGTTTAAAGCATCTAGAACACGGCACAAAGCTGTAGTTCGTGTTACCGTTATTATTATTGGTTGTTATTAGGCCACCTTTTGGGGGGGTGAGGCAAGTGGGGTCCGGCCAGGAAAGGTCTGGATAATGAGGGGGTTGCTCCGTCTTCCAGCCGACAGGTTCGAGCCTGGGCTCCCGAAGGAGAATAAAAATGCGCTCTCCGGGACCCCAGAGTCAGAGGAGTCGGCCTCCAAGGCCCCCTCCGGGGCGCAGCGGAGGGGCGGAGTCTGGGAATGTCGCTCCGCCTCTCCCCGCCCCGGCGCGCTGCGGGGCTGGGGCGCAGAGACCCAAGCGCAGCGCAGCCCTCAGACCCCGCGCCGGGTACCCCGGACGCCCGATCGCAGTGTTCAGGTTTGCCCATCTCTGGGCGGCAGGGCAAGGTGGGCGTCCTGTGAGACCTAAGGAGGCCGGGGGCCTGACCGTGAACGCCGAGGAGACGGGGACATCGCTCCTCCCCCGGGGTCCTGGCGTTGCGGAGCCGGGGAAGGGGTGGGGTGGGGGTGAGCCTTTGGCGAGGACCTGGGCTAGGTTTGGAATGATCTGGGGCAGGGGATAGTAGAACGAGAAAGATCTGGTTGGGTGTGGACAGTACCTATGGGGGGCTTGGGGGTGGAGGCGTTAATGAGTAAGGCGACAGGCCAGTGGGGAGATTGTGGCATCCTGGGCTCCGTGGAAAAGGGGCACGGTTCCGCACGGGTTGAGTTGGGTAGGTGTGGGATGGAAGCGATGAGAGCCGAGAAGCGTGTCTGGTGGGTGGGTGTGGGTGTTTCTGTGTGTTGCGGGTGTTCGCGTTTGCAGATGCCGCAAGGGTGAGGACCATTTGTGCCAGGAGGCCCAGGGATACACAGGGATACGTAAGAACGTTGCGGACCTCAGATGCGTTTCTGAGCGGAGCCGCTGTCACTCGCAGCAGGCGCTCCGGGAGAGCTTTGGCGGATGACAGGGTGTGGGTGGGCTTGCCTAGGGACAGGCAGGGTGACAGCGGCCTTGGGAACCGGGTGTGAGGGCTCGGTGTGTGTGCACTCGGGTGGAGCTCCGGGGTCACTGGGGGTAGGAGATGGATGGACGTATTATAGGAGGAAGGGTGTGGGCCTGGATGGGTGGTGAGCCCGGGCATGGAGTGTGTATGTGTGTGGAGAGGGCTCTCAGGACAAACTAGTGGGTGAAGCATGATTTACAGTGTCCGTGCAACAGGTATATAATCGAGAGGATCCCAGAATTGATCGTCCGGGACCCTGAGTTCCCTGTGAGTTAAGAGAAATCTTTTTTCATTCTCCAGTCTGTTTTTCTGTCTGCAAAATGAATCTGAGGGGCTTTGAGCTCACTCGTCTCTCCGAACCCAGTAGCCATTGGGCGATGGATAAAGACAAGTCTTTTGGAATTTGAATTTGTTTTTCTCTGCCTCCAGGAACCCCACCACCACAGCGCGCCCCTCCCCCAGCCATGGACAATTCCAGCGTACAGGAACTCCAGCAACCCTTGCTGCCAAGCACAGACCGTGAGCCCCCGTCTCCCAAAATAGAGCTGGGACCCCTCTTCCCAGAAACAGTCTTTGCGGAGTCCCTGAGCGGCCGTCAATTCCTCCTCTCACCTCTTCCTTCTGTGAGCGCGGGCCTCGGCGAGCCTGAGACCCCTGACCTTGAGGTAGGGGCATCCGGGTGCTTGCTGCTGCTGCCCAGGTCTGGAGTCTCACTTGACTGTGCGGGGGACTGGCTGGGCGTCTTGGAGTTCTTGTTTTGAGACAGGGCTACTCTGTGAAGCCATGGCTGGCCTGGAGCTTTCCGTGTAGTCCGGACTAGCTTGAACTCAGACATCTCCACCTGGCTCTGCCTTCTGAGTACAGTGTTTTTTTCTCCAGACCCCTCACCTCGTGTCCCTTGATCTTTGTTTGCTGTCTTCCTTCTGACCTGAGTTTTCTCTTTCCAGAATCCACAAACGCTTGGCTTCTGTTGACCCACTTTTCAAGTTAATGGCTTTAATTCTAAAAAAGTTAACGTTTGCGTGTGCGTGTGTGGAGTGTGGCCGGGCACACCCGTAGGGGCAGAGGACAACATTCTTCATCCCCCTGCTTTAAAAGACATTTTTTTTAACATTTCAGATGTTTACTTTAAGCTTTTATTTTTATGTGTGTCTTTTATGTATGCATGTATGTGCACTATATTCGTGCAGTGCCTGTGGAGGCCAGAAGAGGGCGCCAGATTCATCGGGACGTGGGTCACAGATGGTTGGGAGACATCATGTGGGTGGGTGCTGGGAATTTAACCTGTATCCTTCCACAGTGGCCTTAACCAATGAGCTTTTTCTCCAGCCCTTACTTTTAAGTGTGCACGTGCTTGTCTGTGCTTGCATTTTCTCACTTAGATCCCCTGGAGATATAGGTAGACTGTTGTAATCCTCCGCACACGGATGCTGAGAACCTCTGTCGTTTGCAGGGGCAGTAATCACCGTGCCCTATCTCCAGTCCCCCTTTCTGAGCCAGGGTCTGTGATTCTCAGGGTGGCCTCAAGCTCATCCTTCCACCTCAGCCTCCAAGAATGCTGGAGTTACAGGCTTGTGCCAACACGGCCAGTTCAAAGTCACTTTTTTGTAGTGTCATATTCTGAGACACATGTCTTTCATTTTCACACCTTGTAGACAAGGTTTGTTCTTCATTCTGGCTTCTCACACTCATCCTTTGACCTCAGTTTAACCTTCTGTTAAGGACAAATGAGTTGAAACCCCACCCAGATTCACGGGCAGGGAGAACCCACAGCATAGCGGCTGGGAGTGGGGGGAGGGGCACCAGTCACAAGGTGGGAGAGCTTTTGGAGCAAGGGTTTTTTTGGTGAAGGCCTTTAATCCCAGGCAGAGGCAGGTGGATCTCTGAGTTTTGAGCCTAGTCTACAGAGTTCCAGGACAGCCCAATGCTGGCTTTAGATCAGTGTTTGTCCTAGCAACTCAGGACACTGGATCGTTTTTCATCCCATCTGTGTTGCAGGTTCTAATACCCAAGGTAAAGCAATTCAGGGATTACAAGGAACCTTCCCATAGTTGGACCCTTGAGGATGGAGTCAGCACCCTGGGGGCGGGTGTCTCTGGGAACTCCCAGTATCCACAGCCTCTCCAAGGGATCTAGTGGGCAGGGAAGTCCAAAGCTCTCCTTGTTGAATGTTTTTATCTTTGGGGAGGTGATGGGGCAGGAAAGGTGGGTGGGGATATACCCAGCCAGACTCTTTCCTGTACACAGGACACATCATCCAGTGACAGTGACTCAGATTACGACGGGGGCGATCGCCTCTCCCCTCTTCTGCCCCATGACCACCTGGGCCTGGCGGTCTTCTCCGTCCTGTGTTGTTTTTGGCCTGTGGGCATCGCTGCCTTCTGTCTGGCCCACAAGGTTAGTCTGTGTTTGGGACTGAGAGGGTGCTGGGTTAACGAAAGGGGTGGGGGATGGGGAGAGGCTGGAGAAAGTGGCCACATAACATGCACATAGGTGTAACCAGATGTGGTGGTCACTGCCTGTAACCCCAGGCAGTCTCGGGAGCTGGAGGAGGAGGTTCAAGGCCAATCTGACTACAAGCTGGGGTCTTGTCTCAAAAGAACCAAAACCAAAGCGATGGGCAGACTGCCCGCCTAACATGCATGAAGCTCCACGTTTGATGGCCAACACACAGGAGATGGAGGCAGGAAGACCTGAATTCAAGCCAGCCTGGGCTACCTAAAACCAAGCCACATCCAGGGTGGTGCTGGAGGCCTTGAACTCTTTCTCTGAGACAGCTGTGTAGCCCTGGCTGCTCTTGAACTCACAGCGATCCACCTGCCTCTGCCTCCCGAGTACTGGGATTAAAGGTTTGCGCCACCACATATGGAAACAAACATTCTTTTATTAGTTGTGCAATTGGGGCAATCCTGTGCTCCAACCAGTTTTGGAATAGGTGCCCTAGTTATGCTGGGGCTGGGGAGAACCACAGGAAGCAGGGGGCGTGTCAGGGGGACACTTTGGTTACCACTGCCCACTGCCTCTACAGACCAACAAGGCTTGGGCCAAGGGGGACGTCCAAGGGGCAGGGGCCACCTCCCGCCGTGCCTTCCTGCTGGGGGTCCTGGCCGTGGGTCTGGGCCTGTGCACATACGCCGCTGCCCTGGTGACCTTGGCTGCCTACCTTGCCTCCCGAGCCCCGCCCTAGTTGCCCTGTGAATGCAGAGGCCAGAGGCCCAGTGAGCCCGTGAGAGGAATGGATGACCTCGGTGTATGTGGTGGTGACGGCGAGGACCACAGAATCCAGAAGTGAGAGTCCGCTGTTTTCCTGGCTGCCCCACCCGGAAGGAAGCAATGGGAGATTAAAGAGACCCTGAAGAGACCCGAGTCTGCCTGTGTGTTTGGGTGTCCAGGGTGGGGCGGTGGACCAGAGAGGAAGGTTAAAAGGCTGTGGCCGACGTCAGACCTCAGAGCCAGGGGTGGGACACTGAAGTCTTCTCCTCTCCACAGCAGTAAGAACAAATTAGATCTTTCACTCAAACCTTCTTCCCTCTGGCCGGACTGAGCCCACAGCAGACAGAGAACTATTCAGTTGTCTATAATCACTCTGAAGGCAAACTGTGGTGGCAGAGCTGGACCTGCAGGCTGGCAGCTCAGGACGCTGAGGCACACAGACCACAAGTTCAGGTTGGCCTGCAGGCGAGCTTAGTGGTAGCACACTTGCCTAACTCGTACCAGGTCCTGGGCTTACATCAGGACTGAGAGGGGAGACAGCCGGCCTCCACAGCTTAGCAAGACTGTGACACAGCATACCCAGCACTCGGGAGGCAGAGGCAGGCAGGTCTCTGAGTTCAAGGCCAGCCTGGTCTATAATGAGTTTCTAGGACAGTCAGGGCTATACAGAGAAACCCGGTCAGGGGTGGTTGTGGTGGTGAGGAGGGCCAGGGGCATGGGTCAGCAGTACACGGCTTCTTCAGAATTCACAAGTCCCTGAGTTCAAACCCCAGAGCCAGCTTTGGGTGGCAGCGCTCACCTTTACTCCCAGCACTAGGGAGGCAGAGGCAGGTGGATCTTTGAGTTCAAGTCCAACCTGGTCTACAGTAGTTCCAACCAGTCAAAGGCTGTCTTGAAAAATCAAGTAAGTCTCAGAGCCACCAAAACAAACAAGAAAAATGCAACAAAATATCGGTACCTGTGATATGAGAAGGGCTACCTCTGCAAATCTAACTTCTCTTTTTCTTGGGGGAAAAAAGAATCCCGACAGCTCAAATCATCTAGAGACCAAACACCTTCCTTCCCAAGATGACTTTCCAAACCCACCCACTTCAGCCAAGTCCCCAGGGTCCCTGTAGAATGGGCCTCCAACTCAGAGAGACGCCTGCCTCTGCCTCCTGAATGCAGGCACAACCAAGGCGTGCGCCACCACCGCCTGGTCATGTAAGGGGTGGCTCTTTAAAGAAACAAACTGCTGTAGGTGAAAGTTCACCAGCACTTAGTCATGCATCGGAGAGACCAAAACTCTTGAGGTAAACATACTTCCTGGTTATCGAAATATTTAGGCGGATGAGGGTGGGAAGTGTGAGAGCCAGGTCTAGCAAGTGGAGTACAAGCGGGCCTGACACACAGAGAGCTAATCTTTTGTTTTTCGAGACAGGGTTTCTCCGTATTGTTTTGGAGGCTGTCCTGGAACTCACTCTGTAGACCAGGCTGGCCTCGAACTCAGAGATCCGTGGGCCTCCACCTCCCGGGTGCTGGAGTTAAAGGCGTGCACCACCAACGCTGGAGTTAATATTGGAATAAATTCTCAAATGCGGGCCGGGCGTTGGTGGCACATGCCTTTAATCCCAGCACTCGGGAGGCAGAGGCAGGCGGATCTTTGTGAGTTCGAGACCAGCCTGGACTACCAAGCAAGTTCCAGGACAGCCTCCAAAGCCACAGAGAAACCCTGTCTCAAAATTTAAAAAAAAAAAAAAAATCTCAAATGCTTGGCTCCAGCTCTCAATACCAAGAGTGTGGGGACACATGCTGGCTGGGGCCCAATGACTCGTTTACATGAGGTGCTCCCAGAATGCTGGTGTTGCTCTGGATAGCCACGGGTCTGGGTAAGAGTCTCATGGCTCTTTGGTCTTTTTCTGCAGACTAGCTGCTGACCTCACATTGCTACTGGGCTCTTCTGCTGTCATCTTCAAATGAGGACCTTATCAGCCCCGTTTCATGAGGGTACTGGATATGGCTCCCTAGGATTCTTTTTTTTTCCGAGACAGGGTTTCTCTGTGGCTTTGGAGGCTGTCCTGGAACTCACAGAGATTCACCTGCCTCTGCCTCCCGAGTGCTGGGATTAAAGGCGTGCGCCACCAACGCCCGGCTCGGCTCTCTAGGATTCTGTTGGTGGCCCTCAAGGTCCCTTTGGGATTTTTGTCCCTCCCTGCCTGGATCTCTGGGGCTCTCCCTATGTTACCCAAGAGCTAGCTCACTGCCACACTTTCCTCCTTCAGGGATATCTTCAGCTGCGCCACCCTTACCCGTGAAGGCATCCTGATACCCCTTAAACCCGCTCCCTGCCCTTTAGATTTAACTTTGTCTGTGTGCAAGTGCCCACAGAGGCCCAGCAGCGGGGGTTACAGGTGGTCGAGTTGCCTCACGCTGCCAAGCGGTAGGACTGAGGACGTACCGCCACACCCATCTCTTACACTGGAACGTGGGACCGGGGTCTCGTTTGGGGTCAGCCTCTCCACACCCAGCAGGCCTACCGGACGGGTACTTGCCAGACGTCAGAATCAGCGTCTGTTTACTCGCTCACTCAAGACACAGGTGAGCTCCCTTTAATGGTGGCCTGGTGATGGCAGGGTTGTGCCCAGGCCTGGAAATGTCCGAGCCCCTCCCGGCCTGGCACAGGAGCCCCCGCTGCTCCAGGACTGGAAGCCACAAGGGCACAGAGAGGTAGAGTGGGGTGCCGGCATGTGGCAGCCGGAGGCGGTGGGCGTGGGGGCGGGAGGGGCGCCGTGCCCTGGCTTGTCTCAGCTCTTGGAGTAGCGCCTCTGCAGTGACTCTCGGTAGAAACGGAAGATGTGCTGCGAGGCAGCCTGGGCAGCAGCCAGGCATTGCTGGAGCTGGGGAGGGAGAAGCCAGTTAGCGCCCAGGGCCACTTCCCACCCCAACGCTGACATTTCCTTCTTCCCCAGCTCCTGACTCCCACCCCATAGCAGCGGTGGTGCACACCTGTAATGACACACACATAATGGCCCCAACAATCCTCCTGCCTCAGTCTCCTAAGTACACCGCTACCCCTGGTTTCATATGGCACTGGGGATGGAACCCAGGGTCTCATGCAACCTAGAAAAGCTCTCTACCAATAAAAGCCACGTCTTCAGGCCCTCTAAGTTGCTTCCCTGTTTTTAGTATGTAGTTTACGGCGTGCGTGCACACTTGCGTACAAGCATGCCCTGTGGACATTAGAGGACAATTGGGGAGTTGGCTCTCCCCACCACATTGGTCCTGCGGACAGAGGTTAGGTGGTCAGGGTTGGCAGCAAGCCTTTAATTTCAGAATTGTCTTCCCAGTCTGGAAGGTTTATCTTTTTTGGCTTTTCGAGACCGGGTTTCTCTGTGTAGCCCAGGCTGTCCTCAAACTCAGAGACCCGCCTGCCTCTGCCTCTCAAGTGCTGGGATTAAAGGCGTGCGCCACCACCGCCTGGCTCACCTCTCCCTTTTTGAGACAAGTTTTTACTATATAGTCTGGGCTGGCCTGGAGCTCACAGCAGTCCTCCTGCCTCAGCTTCTGAAGTGCTTTGACCACAGCTGTAAGGCACCATGCCCAATCCAAATATCCATAGGAACCATGAAACCAGAGATTTAAATCTTTACATCAGCCGGGCGGCGGTGATGGCAGCAGTGGCGCACGCCTTTAATCCCAGCACTCGGGACGCTGAGGCAGGCGGACCTCTGTGAGTTCGAGGCCAGCCTGGACTACAGAGCGAGTTCCAGGGCAGCTAGGGCTACACAGAAAAACCCTGTTTCAAAAAACCAAAATCTCTACCACCATCCACAGAGCCAGAGAAGAAATACAGGTACAGACCAAGTTTCCAGACTGTATCCCTTGGAAACCCAGGATTCTGGGTGGCACTGTTCTGTGCTGAAGGCCTTGAAGAGAGACACACCACCTCATCCAAAGCTGAACCCGGTTTTCTTTTTTGGTTTTTCCAGACAGGGTTTTTCCGTATTGTTTTGGAGGCTGTCCTGGAACTCGCTCTGTAGACCAGGCTGGCCTGGAACTCACAGAGATCCACCTGCCTCTGCCTCCCGAGTGCTGGGATTAAAGTGAACCCGGTTTTCTGATCTAGACACTCAGGCGTTCCTTTAAAATTGCTAGAGAAACCTTTTCTTTTGGGTTTTTGCTCGTTAAGACAGGAACTCACAATGTTATCCTGGCTGGCTTAGAATTCTCCATGTAGATGAGGCTGGCCCTGGACTCAGCCATGCTTGCCTCTGTCTCCCAAGTGCCGGAGATGAAACTTGTGCCTTGAAACCTCGTGCGTGCCAGGCAAGTACTTTAAGAACTAAGCTCCGAACATGTATCCACCCACCCAACAGGGATGCAAAGAAGGGCGCGATGTGAGCTGGGACAAGATGCAATGTTGATGGGAGAGAAGGTTCTGGATTGTGCCCCTCCCCCCACACTGGTACCTCGGCGTCAGAATAGAGCCCCTTGGTGGTGGACATCAGCAGCTTCTGTTCCACACTGTCCAGGGCAAAGGTCAGGACGGCCCGGGCCTCCTAGGAGCAAGAGGTGTAAAAAAGTTCATTTTCCAGGGACCCTCGTCTTTAAGACCTCAGCCAGTCTGGAACAGGTAACCGGACCCTTAGCCTTGAGGCCAACCACAGTTGTCCGTCCACACACGATGCCATCCCTGGGCTAGTGCTTCCCTTCTCTGCCTTTATTCTGACCGCAGCTCCTCTGTCCCATAGGGGGAGCCACAGTGCCGGCCATTTCCTGGCTGCCCCTCCACAGCCCACTCTCCCTACCTACTCTGCACTCCACAGGCAAGCCAGGGATCCAGGTTCTCCCAGTTATCTGAGGGGCGCCCAGGAAGCCCCGAGGAAGCACCTCAGTCCCCACTGGCAGCGCAGCAGCTGCAGTAAAAGCCCCAGACGGGTGGTGGGTTCTGAACTCCCACAGCCAAGACAACCCCCCAACTTTGCTGTGTGTACAACTGCAGCCAGCCTCGAGGACGGCATGGCAGGGCCCGGCTGCGGCTCAGCCTGCACTGCGTCTGTCTTCCTCCCAGCTGCTCCGGCTCCTGTGACACGGCTGTCACCAGCCCTGCATCCAACCCTTCCTGGGAAGTGCTTCCCTACGCGTCATCACCCTGACCAGCACAGGGCACAAGATCCAGAGTGAGGCCTGCTCTACAGCTGGGTAATGAATGCTAGCTAGCGGGTCTCTAACGGGCCTCATGAATGGGGCGGAGCCTGCCAAATGGGTCAGGGCGCGCACACAAGGGAGGCCTGGAGGCGCGCACACCCACTGGGCCGCTGCCCTGCACGGCTAGCTTTCCCACGCCTACCTTCTCTTGCTTGGTCGTGGGGTCCAGCACGAGATTGCCATCGGCGTCCAGGGCACAGCTGACCCCGCAGAAGAGAGCCCGCATGGGGACACCCGCATCCACCAGGGCCATGCAGGCAGCGTTCAGGCAACAGGCCAAGAGCTGAGCGTCAGAGCGGTCAAGGAGCGTGTCTTCTGTGGGGCTGGCCAGCGGGACGCACCCACACTCCCCTTTACCCGCCGATGCCTGTGGTAGACAGTGCTAACTCATCACGTCTGAACTCCCACACTGCACTGCGTCTGTCTTCCTCCCAGCTGCATGGCAAGGTGGCTAGGAGGCTCTGGCGCCGAGTAGCAGCCATCACCTCCCTCCAGCTACGAAGCCAACCGATTTTCTCCAAGTGCCAGTCCCCGTGTTAAATGAGGTGATGCCAGGGAATAGATCCTACCACTACAGGATGCACAAAGTATCTTTAGTGAGCTGAGGGGTGGGGTGGGGTGGGGTGGCCCAAGTCTTTAATCCCAGCACTCGGGAAGCAGAGGCAGGAGCATCTCTGTAAGTTCCAGGCCAGCCTGGTCTACAAAGTGAGTTCCAGAACAACTAGGGCTGTCGGGGAGGGGGGGAAGGGGGAGCTTTAGTGAAACGTTCAGAGACAGAGGAATCTCCCAAAGTCACAGGGAAGACACTGGCAAAGGCAGGCCCCCCACCTGGGAATCTAGTGGGCAATTATCACACCAGATAATGGAGCTAATGACCATTCTACATGCTTGATGCTCCCCCCAGGAAAGAGCCAGAAACTCATGCCAAGGTGCAGAGAAGTCGTCACTGGCTCAGGCTCTGGGCTTGAACAGGCCTGAGCTTGAGTTCCCATCTTAGCAGTTTTCCGGCTGCCATCGTCCTGGGCAAGACACAGGCGCCCTCTGAGCTTCAGTTTCCTCACCCAAAACACAGCAAACGAGAGACCCACATGCTTGAGTCCTTGGGCTCTTGAACCAGAAGGCCTTGGGATTTACACAGGAACCACAGCGCTACCCAGGACAGGTTCTGTGACAACTAAATGACAATACCACAGAGTGCTTGAGTGCCCAGCACACAGTGAGCCCTGCTTGCTAGTTTTCAAAAGTGTTATTTGTGTGTGTGTCCGTGTCCACGGGCAGGTGTCTGCTGGTGCTCGTGTAGTCTTAGAGGACAACTTGCAGGAACTCGTTCCCTCCTCCCACCACCCGAGTCTTGGGGACAGAACTCGGGTTGTCAGGCTGGCGGTCAGCACCTTAACCCACTCAACCCGCTTGTTGGCCCTGGCCTTGTTTTACGTCCTTTCTGAGCGGCTCCCTGGCACGGGTTCTGTGTGGGAGCATTACAGGGTCTGGTGAAGGGAAGCCACAGCAGGGAAGCCACAGCAGGGAAGCCACCAGCAGGGAAGCCACAGCAGGGAAGCCACCAGCAGGGAAGCCACAAGGGAGGGCCGGGGCACTTCCTGGAGGAGGGGCCAGGAAAGGATACGGAGCCTGCGTCGCTCACCACCTGCAGCACCACTGTGATCGAGGTGCGGGGATGCAGGGCCCCCAGAACCACTGCTTCACACGTGTTCCTGGTCAGGCGCTCCCGGCTCTTCTCAGCCACGCCTGGGGAGACACAGGGCTGTCAGACCTCCCTTCCACCCCGCCATCCCGTCAGGAAGGGGCCGTCTATCTCAGCCTGGGATGGTGCGCACACCTGCAGGAGACAGAAGGCAGGGCCACCAGCCAGCCACCCAAGGACGAGTGCCCAGGAATGCCATGTCCTGTGCTGCTGGCCACACTGACCCTGCCAGAGGAGGCCCGCCCTACCGTACACACGAGAAGCAGGGGAAGTCACGGGAGGGAGACGGGAAGGCCGAGAAGGGAAGAAACAGTCAGAGAAGCAGCTCAGGAGAAGATGGGTCTGGTGGTGCTGGTCTGTAACCTCAGGACCTGAGATGCTCAGGCAGGGGGATCACAAATTTGAAGGCAGCCTAGGCTACAGGGAACTCAGTACCAGCCTAGGCAACTTGAGACCTTGTCTCAGAAAGTAAAAGGCTGGTGGCCTGGCCCAGTATTAGGACTCCGGCCTGGAGTCCACCAGTGAGGACCCGGGAGGCCTAAGCTTTGCGGGAGAGGGCTTGACCGGAGTCCACCAGTGAGGACCAGGGAGTGTGGCCCCCTGGGAGAGCATCTGCCTAGCAGGAGCGGGGCTCTGGATTCCATTCCCAGGACAGCAAAGACTAAAACAAAGCAGAGAGCTGGACAAAGAGGGAGGCGAGCAGGGCAGCGGGGACCGGACGCAGCAAGCGCGGGAGTCTCGGGAGGTCCTAACAGATGGATCCTGGGCGATTTGGCTGCGGCCCCTTACCAGGCAGCCCGATCTTCGGCCTCAGGATCACTTCGAGCGTGGCCTTGTTGAAGATCTCTTTGCTGACCTTCACCTCGGCTGGGCCGTACACTCCAGCCAGGACAGAGGTGTCACCTGGGGAGACATCAGCGGAGGCCTCTGCCACACCATGCCCCCCCACCAATTCTCATCTTTAGGTGGGGACTACCGTAGTCCCTCCCTCGTGGCACTTCGGTGAAGATCACATGACAATGGCTCACAGAGGCAGTAAGCCCAGAGTCCCTCAGTGCCACACAAGAGGACTAAATAAATGCCGGTTTTAAGAAGACACAGTGTACTTGAAACACACAGGATGCTGGCCAGTACTACAGAGCCCACCTCAGACTTCCACTACCAGTCAGTTTTTAGAAGTAGCTGGGGCTGGAGAGATAGCTCGGCGGGTCAGCACCCATACTGCTCTTTCAGAAGCCTGGAATGTGGTTCCAGCACCCACATTAGGCTGCTCATAATCACCTCGTAACTCAGCTCCAAGGGACTGACACCCTCTTCTGTCCTTCATGGACACCTGTACACACGGGCACACACATACACATCCCAGCGTCTGGGAGGCAGAGATAGGAGGGTCAGGAATTCAAGGTCACCCTTGGCTCCATGTTGAGTTCAAGGCCACCCTGAACTACATGAGACTACCTCATAAACAAACCAAAAAGAAATCCATTACATATAATTAATATATGTTAATAAAAATATTTTAAGGGGCCTTACAGAAAACAAACCAAAAAGGGTCTATAGTTGCGATGGGTAGGGATCTTAATTTCTGCCCATTTTCCCAGAATGGATATAAATGCACCCGGAGGAAAAAAAGCCTGGCTTCTAGCCCTGATTACCTATTCCTAGCCCTTGCGTGACTCTGATAACCTCTGTGGGTGACAGAGAGGCCATCTACAAAGTGATGACACCGCATCCAAACAGTGGTTTCCACATTTCTGACAGCAATGCCCAGTAACCAATACACTCTACACCGCAACTCCAAACCGATAGATGCATGTGTGTAAGTGAATCACAGGTTGGGGCTCGAGAGACAGCTCAGTAATTAAGAACACTTGTTCTTGTAGCAGGGAATCTCAACCGAGGAACTGCCCCCATCAGAGTGGCCTGCGGGCCAGTCTGCAGGGGCATCTTGGTGACTGACAATTGACATGGGAGGGCCTGTCACCGCAGGTAGTGCCACTGCTGGGCAGGTGTCCCGGGTTGTAAAAGCAGGTTAAGCAAACCATGAGAAACAAGGGTTCCTCTGCAGTCTCTGCGTCAGCTCCTGCCTCGGTTTCCCTCAACGGATTACGCACTGGGATGTGTAAGCCAAACAAACCCTTTCTTCCCAAGTTGCTTTTGGTCGAGGTCCTTACCTCAGCAACCAAACACTAACGCAGAGATACCAAGTAAGGGGTTTCGTTCCCTTCTGATCATATATACCCGCGATTTTGCATTGTTTGCCACTGTGCCTGGGCGGGGAGGGGTTCTGTGGTTTCTATAAACTCACCATAGACTGTGAAGTCAGAAGTGTCTGCAACATACCTTTTGAAAATCTTAACGATGTTCCACTTGTTCTAGGGCCCCATGGTTTAGAGTGTTAGAACACACAGGAGGAGTGTGTGTGTGTGTGTGTGTGTGTGTGTGTGTGTGTGTAGCACACATGCTCCTGAGTGTAGGTGCTCCACAGGCCAGAACAGAAGACAGCTTCTGATCTCCTAGGCCTAGAGTTACAAGTGGTTGAGAGCCGCCTGACATGGGTGCTGGGAACTAACTCTGGTCCTCTGCAAGAACAGGCTGTTAACCACCAAGCCATTTCTTCTTCTCTTTTTTTTTTTTTTTTGGTTTTTCGAGACAGGGTTTCTCTGTGGCTTTGGAGGCTGTCCTGGAACTCACTTTGTAGACCAGGCTGGCCTCGAACTCACAGAGATCCAACTGCCTCTGCCTCCCGAGTGCTGGGATTAAAGGTGTGCACCACCAACGCCCGGCTTCCACCAAGCCATCTCTCCAGCCCTCAGTTCTCTCCTTTCTTAACCTCCCAGCAGACTTCAATTCTCGCCCCACCCACCCGATTCTCTCCCAGGAAAGCTCCTGAAGAGTCGTCTCCGTTGTCTTTTTCTCCCTGGCTCTGACCCCAACACTACACTGCGCGGGAAGCAATGGCATCCAACTTAATTAGCCCTGAAGTGGTCAGCCCCTACATCTGCAACAAGGAACACCAATGTGGACACCAACTGGCGGCCCTCTTTCTAGGCTGTCTGCTTTGATAGTTCCCACACTTCCCTCTCAAAGCTGGCTGACCCGCGTTGGGGACGGGGTTGTGTGGGTGTCCGTCAGGAGACCCCTCTTTTCTCTCTACATTCATGTACTCTGATGAGATCGTGATCACCAAGCAAAGACACATTTAAAGACACATTTACTCAAGTGACGGGAGAAGGGGAGATACCTGCCAGGCCAGAATGGGGATGATCACGTTCAACTTGAAGAGCATTTACTCGGACAAGTCATCTGCTCCAGTAATTACATTTAAAATAATTCTCGAAACGATATGTATGCAAGTGAACACCTTAGCCTCAACCGGAGGTGTATGGATCCAGAAGAAGCGTGTGGAAGGAAATCTAGTCAAGGGGGAATACCTGCCTTGGTGAAATTACACCGATCCTGGAAAATTCACCCTTCCTAGAGTGGTCTTGCCCCTGATTCCTTCCTTCCGGGCTGGACGCATCGTATTTTTTTTCCCGAGTCTCTAGAAAAGTTTTCTTAGCCGGGCGTTGGTGGCGCACGCCTTTAATCCCAGCCCTCGGGAGGCAGAGGCAAGGCGGATCTCTGTGAGTTCGAGGCCAGCCTGGTCTACAGAGCGAGTTCCAGGACAGCCTCCAAAACAATACAGAGAAACCCTGTCTCGAAAAAAACAAAAAAAAGAAAACAGTTTTCTTCAAACCCCACTTCGGTGAGGACGGCGCGCGCAGCGACACTCGGTTAGGCGCTTACCTTGCAGGAAAGAGGCAGAGCCATCCGGCCGGGACAGCAGGTTCTGTTCACAGGCGAAGTGCCGGAGGCTGCAGACCGGACCTCGAGGGCTGGACTCTGCTCCGGTGTCAGCGCTTACCTTGCGGTCCGCACGCTTCGCCACCTCCATGGCCGCCGAGCAGCACGCGCGCGGCGGCTCCCGCCGTGGCTTCCGCCGAGCCGCGCGCGCGCGTGCGCGCGCTCGCTCGCTCGCCCGTACCGGCTGCGTAGCTACCGCGCAGGCGCCAGACTGGGGCGCGCTGGACTCGGCCCTCGCACGTGGCTGAACGTTTACTAACAATCTGGCCCCGCCCACCTCCACCTCCTAATCCTGGCAAAGCCATTGGACACTAAAGGGTAGGGGGCGGGTCTTGGAATAGGCCCATCTTGCCCAAGGCCCCCGGGCCCTAAACCCGTGAGCCTCTAGTCAGGTTGTCCTTTTCCTGCCTGACACTGGAGCAACAGTAAGCGGAAGACTGGAGCAGTTTTGGATGACGATGATTGCCAGATGAGCTTACATTCGTGTCCTTGACGCGGGGTGGTTGGAGTGAGATCGCTTATTGGCCTAACTGTGCTGCCATTTGTATAAGGCACCTGATGGGGCAGCCCCACGTCTGGCTCGTGAGAAAGGAGGCGTGGTTAGTGAGCAAGATGGCGGTAGCGATATCTGTGGCCAAGATGTGGAGGCAGAGCCGTGGCCTGGGCCAGGCTGCTCTCGTGGCGCTGCGGCGGCCTGGGGCTCGGGGCTTGGCTGGATCCGTAAGTGCCTGGGCCCCACGGGGGTCTCTCCCGAGGCGACCTGAGACGTAAAGGTTATTCTCGCGGTGTGTGTGGGGGGTCACCGCGGGCTGACAAGCAAGGACCGACTCAGAAAGACAGGACCGGGAGACTCCTCGGGGAGGAGGCACTCGAGGGAAGACTCCCTTCAGAGGAAAAGCAAGGCAGCTCCTTGTAAGCCTCGGTGCAGGAAGAAAACCGGGGCATGGGAGGGGCCAGGATCGGGTCCTACGTTTTTTATCCCTTTACTTAAGATCCAGTTGCACAGCTAGTTGAGCAAGAAACTGATTGGGCTCCTGTGTCCCCCGATCAAAAGGTCAAGGCAGGGGCTGTGCCGCCGGATATTGTTTACAGGCGATCAGTGTATGTTTGTTGACTTCATGAAGGGAGACAAAGAGAACGGGACATCCAGACAGGACCCTTGGTCGACGTGAGTTTTGAAGACAGAATCTCCCTCCCCCCAACCCCCGGTAGTCCAAGATGGCCTTTAGCTCACTCAGATTCGCAGACTGGCGTCGGATTAGAGTCGGTCCTGAGGCTGTCTGTCCTCTTTTTCTCGACTGCCCGCTCTTCTTGGAAACGCTTGAGAAAGCTCAGCGCCCCTTTGATCCATTGTTGCTGAGGGCAGGTGTTGCGGTCTGGTGACGGAGCTAAGTGACAGAGTGCCTGCCTGGCATGTGCCACGTCCAGAACTTGACTCCTAACCCCGTGTGCTCTGGGTATGGTGACGCGTGACTGGTCCCAGCACTCGTGGGATAGAGGCGGGAAGGCCCGGCATTGGAGGTCAGTCTCAGCTACACGAGACCCTGACTCAAAAAACCAAAAAGACTGAAAAAAGAAATCAACGGCCTGGGGTGGAGATGTGTGTTTTTGATCCTAGCACTTAGAGGGCAGAGGCAGGCGGAGCTCTGTGAGTTCGAGGCCAGGCTGGTCTACAGAGCGAGTTCCAGGACAGCCTCCAAAGCTACACAGAGAAACCCTGTCTAAAACCCCAAACCCCAAAAAACAAAACAAAAACCCCAAACAAGATCTTGTCAAAAAAAAAAAAGGAAAAAAGAAAGTTTCTTGCTGGTAATGCCTGGTTAGAGGGTTTTAAAGTAAAATGCCCGTGAGAACAGGTCTGGTTAAGTGATTGGGTTCTGGAGCTGGACCACACGATGTCACCTCCCCGCTCTGCAGTTGTACAGCCTTGGCCAGGGGACTGCTTTCACCTCTGTGTACGGCGCTGAGAGTAGCCCCTTGTTAAGGTGGCTGTGGAAATCCCTGCTTGTGGAAGGAAGCGTTACAAATGGGCCCGGTAGGAGAGGGCAATGGGAACGTCGGCCTTGCATTAGCGGTGAGGACAGAAACCTCAGAGATTGGGAGAGGGAAGGGTGGCCTGCAGGGTGGGGACTGGATCGGCCATGCCCTGATGGAGCATCTGCATGTTTTCTGAGGTTGAGTCTGACCTACGTCCAGTTCTTCGGGCAGTGAAGACGGAATCCGTAGGTGGACGCTGGGGGGGGGGGTTAGCAGAGATGAGCAGGGTCAGCTAGGAGGGAGGCAGGGCTGCAGGACCAGGGTGTGGGCAGGGCAGTGTGCCGCGTGCTCTTCTCTTTGGCTTTGTTCCCTAGCGATCAAATCCGTCGCAGCTGATTTCAGCCCCTGAACTCACTGGCTGGGCAGGTAGGCTGAGCGGAAGTGAGGTTCCCAAGGACAGGTCCCTGTGACTGATTAAATCCGCTCTCCTGCTGGCTCAGACTTCTGTGGCTGTCCCTCTAACTTCTTTTCCCGTCCCATGTCCCTGTGTCGTGTGTCCCCCCACACACACCGTGAACTTTGGCTCTTCCTGCCTCCATCTCAGTGTTCAGATTAGAATCGTTCATCACCGTGCTCGGTTTTATTTGGTGCTGGGGGTCAGACCCAGGACTTATACATGCTAGGCAAGTGCTGTGTCTACTGACCTACACCTAGCCCCATCCCCTTCTCTCCCTCCTTCTTGCATCCTCCCCCCTCCCGTCTCCTCCCCTCCCCTCCCCTCCCCTCTCCTTCCCTGGCCTCCTTCCTTTTTTTTGGTGGTGGTGTGGGGAGTGGGGAGGGATCTGGAACACCTGATGCTCCTGCTTCTTCTTCTCAAATGCTGGAATTTTGGGCATTTGCCATCATGTCTGGCTTCATATTCTCTTCTAATTTCGTTGTTGTTGTTGTTGTTTTGAGACAGGCTGTCCTGTCTGGAACTCGCTCTGTAGATCAGGCAGACCTCAGACTCACAGAGATCTGCCTGCCTCTGCCTCCCAAATGCTGGGATTAAAGGCGTGCACTTGCCTATTTTTTAATCCACTGGGTCCAGTTAATGGTGTACACCGCTGGGGCGTGGGGAACGTGCCAGTGGCCTAAAGACAAACGAGTTTGCCTTCCCCTGAAGCCAGCAACTGCTGATAGCGCTGCATCTGGGCTGGGGTCTTGAGAGCCGCTCCCCAGACCTTGCTGGGGCTTAAGGAGCTGGGTCGATGTTGTGCAGATCTTTTGTGAGTAACCACAGCTGCTGTGAACTGTGCATGCAATAGCTGTGTCACGAGGACACAGATTTTACAGCGACTCCTCCCACCCTCAGGTTCTTGCATTCTTTCTCTCCCCTATTTCACAATGTTCCCTGCACTGTGGAGGGGGTTGATGCTCATGTTCCCAGCCGGGCGCTCTTAGTCACGTACGCTCTGAACAGTAATGCGTCTCTGCGTTTGGCCATTAACCCAGTGCAGTAAGATGCTTCTCTGACCGAGGTTGAGAGCAGCACAGATCTGTGGAGAGAAACATGGCTATCTAGAAGACAGTGTGACAGCATGACCATGTGGGAAACAACATCAGTAGCTTCTGCCTCTAGTTCCTATGGCTTCCTAGCTCTGTGTTTTGACCATGGTTACAGTACCAGGGATGGGCTCCCTCTTGTAGAACAGGCCTTCCATTCAATAAAGAGAGCAGCCCTGCCACAGGCGTGCCCCGTGGGCACACGGGGAGAAAATGAGGTCCCCCTCCCCGGGCTTCCTGCACAGTCCCTTCCAGCGTTATGACGGCATCTTCAGCCTCCATTGGTGCAGCCACTCTAGAAGTGAGCTGGAGGCTTCTTAAAACTATAAGTAGGAGCCGGGTGGTGGTGGCGCACGCCTTTAATCCCAGCCCTCGGGAGGCAGAGGCAGGCGGATCTCTGTGAGTTCGAGGCTGGGCTGGACCGACAGCCTCCAAAACAATACAGAGAAACCCTGTCTCGAAAAACCAAAAAATAAATAAATAAATAAAAACTATAAGCAGGTCTACTATATGACTTGGCTGTATTGCTCCTGGGCGTATGTAGCTACACTCAAAGAATCTTACATCTTACTGCAACGACACTCTATTCACACTAGTTAGGATATGGGATCGACCTAGATGATCATTAAAGAAAACTGAAACCGTGAAATCGGCAGGTAAGTGGATAGAGTTGGAAAAACGTTGCAGATTCGCAGGGGAAGGTCCTAACTTCAGACCTTACGTTTCTAACCGGAAAGCACACATGGAAGGTAGGAAAGTGAAAAGGAAGTGAGAGGAAGCATTTAGGGAAGGGGGAAGGTAGGAAAGTGAAAAGGAAGTGAGAGGAAGCATTTAGGGAAGGGGACAGTAGGTGATAGCCAAGATGAAAGTGGAGATGGGGAGCAGGGGGGGGGTGCTCATACAGATAGCTGTTGGGGAGATGGGGAAGTGAGAGTCCAGACAAGGGTAAATAAAGATTTGTGAAGCAGCTACTTGGGAACCCATGACCTTGACAATTCAAGTGAAAAATCTCCAGTAAGTAGGCGGGGACAGTGAAATTCATATGCTGTGGGAGAACAGGGAGGATACTGGGAGCTAAAGGTTTCAGTTCAAATGGGGCACAGGGAGGTAGGGGAGAGGGGATGTAGGGGAGAATTAACCAAAACTAAGCCTGTCTCAAGAAGCCTTATGATGCCCCGTTAGTTTGCAATCTAATTAAAATTTTTTTCTTGGAAAGTTTAAACAGAAGTACTTCACAGTAGCAAGCACTGTTGCTCCCGGAAGTCAGGGGTCACTGAGAAAGCCTCAGTGTCTGTCGGGCATGGTTGCTATGGGTGGTCCCTTGCTGCTCTTGGTCGCCCACTGTGACTGAATGGTTAGACCCCGTTGCTGAAGGGACCACACACTCAGTTTGGGAACACGTAAATTTTTTTTTATTCTTTTGATACATGATCTCACCCTGGATGGTCTGGAACTCACCTTGTAGCCTGTGATGGCTTTAAACTGGTGGCAGTCCTCCTGCTTCAGCTTCCCAAGTATGGGATGGCAGGACAAGCCGCCCTCCGTGGCTGGAAGGTGCAATTAGTTCTGTCCGGTGGAGACGAGGAGCAGGTCTGGAGGAGGTGGGGAGGATGTCTGCTGTGGGCCAGTTGGAGGGTGGATGAGGAAGAGGGACCCCGTAGCCCCTCCTCTCGGCACCCTTCACTCAACACTGTTGGCTTCTCTGCAGCTCAGGGGGAAGAGAAAGGAAACTCACTGTAGGAGCCAGGCCTGGGGTGGTGACAGTGACACACTCGCACGCACGCACGCACGCTTGCTCTGTCTCTGTCTCTCTCTCTCCTCGCTCTCTCTCTCACTCACTTGGGCTCCGTTGCTAGAATCCCATCCCAGCAGCTACAAAGCTGTGTGTGTTCACTGCACCCTCTGGATATGGTAGTGCATGCCTATAATTCCAGCACTAAGGAAGCAGAGGCAGGAGGATTGCATCAAGCCAGCGCTGCATGGCAAGACCCTGAAAGTTAAAAAAGAAAAAAAAGATTTCCTCTTAAGGCCATTGCAATGGCTCAGATTGTAAGGCAGCTACTGTCAAGCCTGGTGACTTGAGTTGTCTCTGGGACCCAATGGTGGAGAGAGAGTCACTGCCACCGATCATCACACCTCCATGCACACACACAGTACATCAAAACGTAATTTAAAAAGTTAAAGACTTGCCGGGCGTT